ATTGTATGTAATTGCGATTTTTATCTAATTAATTGTAAACTATATAATATGTATTTATATGTATAATAGTCATGAATTCTAAATAAATAAAAATATATTAAACCGTACTTGGAAGCCAATACAATAAGAAAACGTAAGCTTGTCTATTTCAAAAGCTTTGTCGTAATCTGAAACCTTTTATACAATGTTACCATTTTACCATACAATAACAGTTTGCGGTGTGAACATTTTATTCAGGATGTCAGAAAAACGGTAATGGTAAGGGTGGCGGATGTTTTTATCGTTAGCGAACTAGTAGTCTTGCATATCGATCGCATTGCATGACGTCCGTGCCCCACACCCCTTGTAGGGAGGGAGGCAGGATTTTAATATGTCGCTGGAGCCACCCCAGTTCAATAATAGCCGAGCTCTGTATAGGCGTTAGATTAAATAATAAATTAAGGGCTTATATATTTTGATACCTGCTGCACGTGTATATTTTAGGGTTCTCGTGTTTAGTGTATACGTATGTACTTTGTTACATCAGTATTTTAAGAAACTCGTAAGAAAATAACTTATTTTTGGTACTTGAAAGAACGGATTTGTATCCTTAAAAAAACTGCTTATTATTTTGATTAAAAATCCAATATGTGGTTGTTGGCCGATTTTGTTGTAGTTTCTATCAAATCAAGCAGGAGCCTATATATCGTTTCAAATAATTAAAAAATCGGCTTATACCTTATTATTATTATTACTATTAATTATAATTACCTCTGAAATAACAAACATAAAACAAACATACTCATCTTCCTCTTATTATTTATTTTTAAGTCCCGTAGAATAGATTTTTGTTTTAAATACAATATGATTTGTGTACACAGTAATAAGTACTGATTATTATTTTACTATATCTTGTGATTTGTTAACTCATTCTCAGTCCTCACTCTTGCTAATATAATAAACGCGAAGGTTTGTGATTATAAATGGATGAATGAATCTTTGTTACTCTTTTACGCAAAAACTACTGAACAGTAGGCTACAAATTTCATGCTGATGAAACCGGCGGCACAACTTGTTTACAAAAATATACTGACATTGCAATTTTAGTAATGGAAATCTCGTGTTCGAATGCTCAATAAAATGTCATTCAATTCCTTAGCACATAACATAGGTACGAAATGTGATAATAAAGCTGCACGAATGGCTATTAGCACTTAAAGTATGGGAATTAGAATAGTTCAGGGTGTCAACTAAATTAATAACATTTAAGAAGCGTGATATTGATAAAACAATATTACATATATTGCCATTATTACACATTTGGAATTACATATATTAAAGAAAAAACCTAACGAACCTATATAAAAAATGATTCTTTTTGTAATACTGGCAAAGATTCAGATAATATCTACCAATATAATATAGAAAACGATTTCTTGATTCAATAAATGATATTGAATCATACATTCGAACTATTCATTTACTACGTAGGTCATTAAATAAAATGTAATATTTTCATAACTTTTTTTTCGTAGATGAAGTTTTTTTATAATTGATAATAGAATGTCTCCACGCAATAACGGTATACGCAGACGGGATTGAAATATAATTGGACGACGATAAAGTCCGGTCAGCTTGACTCACGGTGACGTGTCTAACAAGATGTGGTAGTTCTTCTACTGTTTGATATCTAACAATGAAATAGTTTGTTATTTCAGTGAAACTGTCTATGGGATTTTTTTATGTAATTAAAAGGCCAAAACAACTGACTACCCGATCGTAAGAGGTAACCACCGCTTAACATGAAGATAGCCTGTGAAATAATCCATGAAACTGATTTATTTAAATTTTTAAACTTTCGTACAAACTGGGTGGTCACTATATCGATTTAGTATTTTTATTTATATGTAATTATAATGGTACCTAAATAAACTGTCGGTCGGACTATTAGTAAGCGTCGCCTATATACATGAACAGCAGTACGGATAATATGTTCTCTAATCATACCCGTGATACCACTCAAGCGGTGCCATTCCAGACGACTAAGATTCCATGCCTGTTATGCGTAATTTCATGTATATTACTTTTGGAAAAAACGAGAATTTCAGTAAATAAAATATTAAAATGATAATGTTTATACAATGAAATGAAAATGAAAAATTCCTGACATATTCTGTAAAAATGTACATAATAGAAATAGAAATAATCTTTATTCAAATAAACTTAATATAAGTACTTTTGAATAGTCAAGTTTTTTTTATTCTACCACTTATTCGGAATGCAGATTCGGATTCGGATTCATCACAAGAAGAATAAGCAAGATATTGTGTGTTGCTCTTTTAAATAAATATTGATTTACTTAATTTAATTAACAACAAGGATTAGGCATGCGACAATCAACATAGAAACCGCTACGCACTTAATCTCTGTTCAATTCATTCTACTATTCAACGACAACGACAAACGATTCATTCTACAATGGCCAGCATTATACTTTCAACAATTACTTTCAGATTTTCACTTTGTATCTTAGTGTTTCTGTTTCATGTGTCGTTAGACTTGGTGTACTACCAAGTCTGACGACGTCTACGTTACGTTTACTTCTATGCCTGTATGTATATATTAATTATATTGTACAATCTATGGTAAGTCGGAATATGGGAAAGTCAAACGAAGAATTGTGTCAAAACTCGCATTTTACCACGAAACCAGGCAAATAATATAACGGCAGAGACAGGCGTAATGTGTATTGTAATTAACGGTCTCGGCGAGTGTAGTGCGTGCCAAAACATACTACCGCACCTGAATGTTGTGATTGCGGCTAAAGATAGTGGCCAACTAGGTCTGCTGGGTGCCTCTGCTTTCTGTTCGTACTGCATTTAACGTATTTACCAAGTCTATTACACACGCATTTGCATAAATATGTAAAGTTGTACAATATTTGTTTGAAAGAGAAATAGGCAAGTCTGTCAGTATTCTTGGGCGAAACTGCACTCCAATCTAGTGGTAGGATAAAAATATGACTATTCCAAAGTGCTTAAAATTTGATTGTTTTAATAAAAAATATTTCTATTCTCTTCTTTAGAATCCACTATCTATAAACTATCCAGTAGCATTTTCTGGAGTGATGAGCCCGCTATTGTTTTTTTTAGTAAAATAGCGGGCCTTTTTTTGTTGGAAGAGGGACATATCTGTGGATGAGGAGCAAAGGTCATCAAGGTTGCGAAGCTATCGGAATGTCATAAAATCATAAAAAACATGAATTATTATAGAACATACAGCCTAAAAAAATTACATCAGAGTCCCAAATACAGGTACCTTTAACCGAAGTAGACTTTGTACGTTTTGTACTAGTCGTTTGTGCAGGGATACCTAGATATATTTCACCTATTTTCGCCCCTATCTGTCGTAATATTATGGCATTGAAAATGCGATTTACCACCTGTCATATCTTTCCTACTCTATATAAATATGGGTTTATTGTCAGTCATTCATATAGGACACCTCTGTGTTTCGTATTCTTTTTTTATCACTTCCTATGATCCAGTTCGGCTATCTACATCAGTTGAGAACTGACAAGAAACTCGACTTGCGTATTTGTGTATACTTAATAAATTTTCGTATTGCCTGTATCGACAGATGAAATAGTATACAAATGTATTTTTCACTGCCGCGGGAATTTTGCCAAGAAATACACAATGCGTACAATAATATTATTTTGTACTAAAAATCCATAAAGTAACAAATGTATTGTTAGTTTACAGTTTCTGCATTCTGGAAAGCGTTTTTTATTATTTTATTTGCGGTACAGTAGCACCTATCTAATAAAATTATTGACCTGATAAATTTCTATGAACTAGCTATAAAACTGTCGTTACAAGTAATTTATGGATGTATGTATATTATTGAAGTCTTAAGTTATTTATACTGCTAGTCATTTAGCATATTATATCTTTTGCCGTGTAACGGAAGATGTCGTGCGTAATGATTGTATTTTTTCACAAAAAAATCTACAAGTAATATTTTTTATTAACTAGCAAATATTAATAAATAACACCTCTATAATCTAATCATACGCGTAAGTGACTGAAAGTGTCCTGAATATGACCTAATGGCTTAATAACGTGTTAGAATGCATGGGTATTACTATATTATTACCATCAGAAGGGTCGTATGCTTGTTTGCCGCCATCGTAGTATAAAAAAATACTGTACACCACATGTAAGTGTTTACTAGGAAATTTGCATAAAAAGGAAACTGAAAATAATGTTTTCTATCTGGAAGAGTATCTAGTCAAGACCTATTTATATATATAAGATAAGTACATGCTTACACAAATATTTCTAATCATAACAAAATTCAATTTATGGCGTTACCGTCATAACTAGCTAGTACGATTTATACTCATGTATAAATGTAAGTAGGTATGGTTATTTTTTAATACTCATGTCAATCGCACACGCGATGACATTCGCCTCTTGAATTGTACGCAGCACGCGAGTGGGCACAGCAAATCGTATTAGATTTACATATAACAAATAACATCCATGTGGCCATAGTAAATTGTTTATACAATATGCCAATAATATAAATAAGTCATCATCGTTAGACGTGTGATATTTTATCGGCAATTGTGGCAATGTATCTAGTCGTGTCTAGTTTGATCTGTCTTTTTTATTATTTTTGCCTGTATCCTAAAGATTGTAACGTTATGTTAAATAGGATGTGACCTTCCACAAACATTAGGCTATAAATTTTAAAAATATTACTTCTTAATCTGTAGATTCAGAAATTTGCACTAATTAACAAACCTATTGTTTTATATTTTAGTATAATTGTAGATGTATCGATTAAATTGTTAAAGTACGAAGGGGTATGATTGCTTGATGCCATTTACCTCAAAGGGAGAGGGTGAGCATGCCCTTTGAGAGGACGCGTCGCATCCAAGTGAATTTCCGATGTTTGCGCAGACTGCGCGCGTCGCCGTGATTCCTGTTGTATCGGCCAATTTCAGTAGCGCCGCCGGCCCGCCGCCGGCCGCTCAGAAATGTAACCAAACGCCCCAAACCTCAAACAAATCCAGTCTTCCAGCGGTCGTACCGCCATGTATTAGTATTAGCATTATGTAGTTTAAACATTAGTCTTAAGAAACCAAGTCTTCCATTAGTATTAAGTATTTTAAGATGCAAAGAGGTAGGGCGGCGCGACGCGAACAGAACAACCGAGTTGTATTCGAGCGACTCTGGCGGGGTACATTCCAAGCGGTGCTCGCAGGACCACAGCAAAGAGCGCGTGCTTCCTCGCACGATCCTATTTCTGATTCGTCTGTGGTCCCCGTGACCATGCAACAGGGGACGACCAATGCAGACGACAATTTAGAGCCAGCGCTGAGAACTCTGCTAGCGACCCTGAGAAACTCATGTTGTTGCCGATGCAATTGCTCGCAACCAGAGCGCAACAATTTTAACGACAATTTGCAGGTCTGTCTCTCCAATGATGAGGAGAGGAAGTCCATGCGATCTGTAATCAGGTGTGCATTCATTCAGTTTTATTGATTAGTTACTGTTAGCGTTCTGTATCAGCGTCGTTAGGCGCTAGCCACCGCAGCCGATCTTTAATTAAGAGTTACAAGCCTATAGAAACTGTGTTAATTGAAATTTAACCGATTTCATACTCGGTCAAAGCTAATAATGATTTTATAGGCGTTGCGGGTCGATATAATAAAATTAGTTTTAATCAGAATTAGTACAGTTTGCTAAATTGTTTCATGTTTCCCTATTTTTAGCGCACTTAAAAGCTGCTAAGGTAAATATGCGTTAGTCTTCTTTGACGCTTGACTATAATGTTTTCAAGTTAGAAGATTATAGAAAAATGCATACATTCAGTAATTTTTATCACGTTTACTTTAGTCGTTTGAGCTGTTATGTACTAATAAGTAATATCACATATTAACACATTTTGTTTAAATCCAAGTTACATACGTTTGATATATAAATATAATTGGTATTCTAAGAATGCAGATTAAAATGTTTTGATTCGGTATTCGACATAAATCACACTAATGACGTCAGGGAGTGATCGCGAAATGTATTGAATACGTTCCGTTTTACAGCGTACGAGAGACGCACGCGATCGCTGAAGCGCAGCAAGAAAAAAACGCGAGGTTACGCGACGCGTTCGGGATCTCGCCTCGCTTTGTGGAGGGCACCAGCCTGGACCCGGAGCGGCGAGCGCGGGAACAAGCGCAGCGGTACCCACTCGTGCGGACGCCCAGTCACGAGAGGGAGGAACGGGACGTGCACGTGACCAAAAAGAAAAAAAAGAGAAGGTACTACCACATTCGTCTTTGGTACGACGACGGTAGAATATTATTAGCATTATTAAAAGAAAATTTTATTTGAGAAATGTAGATACACTATAAAACATATTTTTTAGCCCATCTTCAAAAAGGAAGAAGAGTACTCATTATATTACTTTGTCTATAAAACAGATAGTAATTTTAACACGATTTAAAAAACTGTGGTAGAAAAATTAAGCTTGAGAGTATGTTTCAACTAGCAGAGTTGAAAAATACTCTCAAGCTTTTACGTAAATTCTATTTATTTAAATGTTCCACATTATATTGCAGTACATCACCAGAAGCTAAGAAAATAAAGAAAAAGAAGTCTAAGAAGAATAAAAAAGAGAAGTATGTTTTTATTTTTTATACATCTTTATAACTAGAGTTATTTTAATTTATAAATTAAATGCATCTATTCATCAAATTTTACAATTTGTTCAAATCCAGACAGGTGACATTTCAGTTGTCTAAGAGGCAAGTATATGTTTTTTCTGAATATTAGTTTATATGGTTAATAGATGTTTATTTAGCCTCATTTTGTTATTCACAATTACAGCGACAGAAAAATTTTATGGGATTACATCTGTAGGTACAGTAAACATTGTTTTAATAATGCATAAAGTAACAAAAGCAAATTGTGTATTGCTAAGAACAAAGATGTATATGCAATTGTTTTACATAATTAATAATGTACAACTGTCTACAATGTTTGAATAGGTGTGCCCTGTCTAGCCTTGAAAATTTTCATTTAATGCATATTCAGCGCTTCTTCCTTTCCTTTCTGTTTGTACGCTCCAATTGTCGTTTTGTTTATGTTATTTACTTTTTTCTTTATTGTCCAGGCAAGAGTCAAGTAAGAAAAAGAAGAAACGGTCCAAATCACCGGACACGGAGAGCTCGAGTAGCTCCGAAGCGGCGCAGGAAAGCGACTCTGGCAGCTCTGAAGATGAAAGGCAGAAAAAAAAGAAAAAGGTAATTGTCGTTTGATTTCTTGTTGAACTCCAAATCTATGTTAACATGTTTATGACTACTAGCTTCTGAATCTATAGACTGAGTAGGTTATTTATAGTTCAAAGATTATATTATATATATTAAATAATGTTTTATTATAATATATGTTAGACAGTTAATTTTTAATATTTGAATCATTTACCAACTTAATATTTTTAACTGCAATTTGGATGCCCACATGTAATCTTTGAATTTATTTATTAAAACGTAATGGTTTAATATAATCCATGGGTTTTTGGGGACTACAGTATAATATATGATTTTATATATATATACACATATGACATGTAGTAATTTGGGATCTTCTATCATACCATACCAACACTCGACTGTTCACAATCCTTACTCAACCTTTGAGGCCCTCTGTAGAAAGGTTGCGGGACTGTTAGTTGATATAGCACAATATGCTTCCGTTGTCTCACAAAATGACCCAATACACAGACCTAATCATCCTTACTGATATGTCCTTGAGTTTTTTTTTATTTTACACTATTCTCTGTCCCTATCTTGCATTTTACAACTAGCTGTGATTAATGTAGACATCATTCAGTTTGTTTTGCCATGTTCTTAGTAGAATCTCTAATCCTCAGCTCTTCTCTCACTCTCTTTCCATTGCTGAGCCTCCCCACACATCTATATTTGATATATACAATTAGCTTACCATCGGGGCAAAATAGTCCAATGTAATAATGTGGTCTTGTTATCTTATTTCTTTTTATTTTTTTATTTTTTTCTGTAAATACAAGAAATAGCCAGTAAAAATTATCTCTTTAACTGTGCATCATTTCATAGGATAGCCATCTTTATCTGAAGAAATAACGTATACTGTAAGTATATCACAAAACAATAACACTCAGTAAGACACTATGTTAGGTGAATACTAAAATAAAGTTCAACATGAGAATTTGGTAATGCATTTTGAAGTATGATATTGTGATTAACATGATTGATAACTGAATATTGAATGGTGGGCGGTGGTGGGGACACGTGTGCACAGTTATTTACATGCATGGTGTTTGTAGTCCTTAAAACAGATGGTGGTTAATATGTTCGTGTGACGCGAATACATGGATGTGTGTTAGAAAAACGTGTTTTGTGCCTACTAATTATGTATATCTAACATTAAATTTAAATTAACAAAATGATATAATGTTCAGGACACAAACCACATTTTTGTACGACACATCTTATCAAACGAAATTATTGAATGTTCAAATGTAACTAATCCATAACATTCTCCCTCTTCTCATTTACCCAAAACTAATTAAGGATGCTCCACATGTTTAAATGGTATAGAATACCACCACCGTTTGTTAAATAAGGTACGTTCCCCAGTGTTATTACATTTGATTTTTGTGTATTATTACATTTATTTATTAAGTTAAAAATATTGATATTGTAATGTGTTACTAACATAGTATTACATAAATTATAAGTGACACACACTGGTGCCAAAAACAGTTGTATATCTTTGTTCACAAATACATATTATGTATCTATTTGTATTGTTCATTTAAATGAGAATGTTATGGATGGACTCTAATAACATTCTGTATAATTAAATGGAAATTTCCAATTAGTAATCCTTTATTTATACTTGCTTCCATTAATAGCTTAAGTGTATTTTATTTTTAATTTTCTCTAATACAATGTTTTAATTTAATTTACGCCTACATTATGTTCTAAATGGTTCTTTATTAGATTGCATGCGTAAAGTGGTAATATTATAATTTCTATTGAAATTCTTCATCTTCTGAAATACTTCTGGAAAGGATAAAATTTGTAAATAATCTTCACAGATTATAATAAGTCTCTGAAGAATTTCCTGTATTTTTTTTAGTAATATATACATTTTTGTTGCCTTTACCACTATAGATTCTTGTATTGGCACTGGTGTTTAATGTTCCCTCTTGTTGAAAGTGATTTTCATAGTGTTTATTGAATTTTGAACAGAAAAAGTCGAGTAGCAGACGGCGAGGCAGTAGCGAGCCGTCGAGTCGTGATAAGTAAGTTCTATTACAATTTATTACATAATTTCGTGTTACATATTTTTTATTGTCACACTGTCTAAAATGTTTAAAAATAATGTTCTGAAAATGTCATAACAATTTTACTATCGTCATAAAACATGTCGATTTTTATGGTTGTGGCTAAAACATGAGTTAAAAATGAGGTTTAAGATTCATAAATAGAATTATTGATAGTAAATTAACTTTATTGTACTGTAGGAACATAACTAAAATGCACAGTATAGTCAAACAAAATCTTTCACTTGCTACCAAACTTATTATTATCTTTTCATCACTTGTTTAAACAGATCAAGGAAGAAATTTATGATATTGTAAAGGTTATTTGATATTTATTGCCATGTTTGTATAAATATTCATTGAAATTTTTACAATAACCGCCAATTGTGTAATGATGATTAAATATACCAATTTTATTTTTCTAGTTCCCCAGTTAAACACAATAAAGAGAGGCTGCGAGAACGTAGGAGTGAAAGCAGGCAGGATGATGTGCAGAACAGGAAGAAGGATAAGGAGCGTGACGAGAGAAAAAGATACGATAAAAGAGAAGAAACTTCCAATACGAATTCCCGACAGAAGGAGTTCAGTAAGAGGCGGGATGATCGTAGCACATCGAGAGATGATCACGATCCTTCACCTGAATATCGGCATAGATCATACATTACCAAAGTAGAAAATAAAAAACAAAGAGAACCATCTAGAGAAAGTGAAAGGCCAAAAACAACGCAACGCTCTAAACGCGCTCGTCACTCTTCTCCAGAATCAGATTCAGAAGAACCACCACCCAAACGTAAAGCAGATAAAAGAGACAAGAAACAAAAAAATAAGGATACTAGTTCCTCGCCACCACCAGAAAAGAAAAGACGCAAAAGTCCATCGCCTGACTGCAAGAGGAAAGCTGAGAGTCCAGTTAGAGAAAGCTATTACAATAGAAAAGACGTAGCTAGAAATCGTAGAGCTAGCTTGTCACGGGAAGATACCAGAACGAAAAAAAGGAGCGAATCTCCAGATTACCGAAAGAGAAAACAAGAAGATTACTACAGAAAAGAAAAAGAAGAAAAGTATGAAAAAAGTAAAAAGGGCAACGAACGTTATGAGGAAGAGCCATTGAAACGTAAAGATAGAGATAGAGAAAATTATGATGATCCCCCGAGACGCAAAAAAAATAGAAGTCCTTCAAGGGAGAAGCGTGATACCTCACCCGAATATAAAGAACGATCTCCAGTGAGTAAGTCATATAAAAATAGGGAATCTCGTCGAGAAGTTGAAAGGCATTATAAAAAGTCTAAATCAGAAAGAAAAACATCATCTTCCGGTTCAGAATCTGAACGGCCTTCTAAATATACTGTAGATAGAAATGTGAAAAGCAAGTTTCGTTATGAGAAAGATAAAAGTATGTCTCCACCTCCCAGAGAACATCGAAGGAGGAGTTCTTCAGAACAAGATCGCAAAAAACAGGAATCGCCACCTCCCACAAATAAAATAGAGAAATATAAATCAAATAAAATTACAGAAAATAGACGCGAACGAAGTCGATCAAGAAAAAAGTCACCAATACCTGAAGAAAGAGGCAAACGTAAAAGATCTCCAACTAAGTCAGAATCGCCTTCTCCAGATCGAAAGAGTACAAAGAAGGATAAGTTGAGAGACAATCCACCAAATAATTTAAAAAGTAAAAAGTCCGAGCGTATGTCTACACCTAAGGGTGATCACAGACATGAAAAAGATCATAAACATGAACGTCGCGACTCGCACAGAGATAAATCACGATCTCGTTCGGTACATAAAAGCCGAAGTACCTCTAGCCTCAGTTATTCTCCGGCGCGTCGAAGCCCTGAGCGCTATCGCGATATTATAGAGAAACTGCCCGAAAAAGACAAACGCAAATACATTAAATCGCCGTCAGATTTAAACCCAAGGAGAAAGAAAATTAAAGAGCTCATGGAAAATTATAAACCAATGGCGGTATGCATGAGAAGTTCTTCAAGCGAGAACGAGGACTCTGAAGGCGATTACCTCAGGTTAGATGAGCGAGTGCGTCAGGACGAGTTGGACATCGAAGAGCTGAATAGATTGAAGGAGAAGATGGCTATGATGGCTAAGACGGCCAACCGGTGGGCCGAGGAGACGAACGGGCCGTCGACGTCCCACACCAGTAGTGGCGAGTCAAAGCCGAAGGAAGAAAAGTTGAAGGACAAAATCTGTACCGAGACGAAAAAAGAAAAGGAGAAGTCTCCCGTAGTCATTGAAAAGAAAGCCAGCCCGCTGCCTAAGTCTAGTTCTAAAAAAGATAAGAGCCCTAAGGTTACGGAAAGTTCCCCCGATGGGAAGCGACACGACAGGAGCGCATCGCGGCGAAGTTGGTCGCGTTCATGTTCGCGCTCGCGCCGCTCGTCACGCTCCGCTCATTCACAGCGCTCCGCTCGCTCACAGCGCTCCGTTCGCTCACAACGCTCAGCTCGCTCACAGCGCTCAGCTCGCTCACAGCGTTCCGCTCGCTCACAGCGCTCCGCTCGCTCGCCAACCTCGGCTCGCTCCCCGCGTTCACCACACTCGCGAACTAAGTCGCGCTCGCGCTCCGCGTCGCGCTCCAGATCTCGCTCGTCACGATCGAGGTCGCGATCCTACTCCTCATCGAGGTAATAACAATATTTTTTAATTATCATAGCCGTCCTCTATCTGTTTCTAGACACATTTCTCTTTGTGCGATTCAGCATGCATCCATTATCTTATTTCGGGCCCATGTAGCTGGGGAACTCAGTCCATTGCATGATCTCGCTGTAACTTTCCACATCTATAATTGCTGATTCGATATTTAGTCCATTTATAACGATTATATAATTGAATTTAGACTGAGGTCTAAAAATTGGATTTAGGTGATAGATGTGTACATGAAAACTTCATAATATAGGATTTCTTCCATTACAATATTAATTTATTCAGATTCAATTATATTCAGATACTGACAGATATGAACCTACGTTTTTTTTTATTTACAGACGTTCTCGTTCTAGTCGGTCCACCTCTTACAGCAGTCGAAGCACGTCGAGGTCGTCCCGCAGTTCCTCCAGGTCCACAAGATCATCGAGGTAGCGATTATTAACATTTTATTAATCCAATATATTAGATGGCTTCGTGAGTTTTTTCGACATATCGAGAACGGTTATACACGGTCTTCTTAAGAAACCCTGTTGAAAGACAATCGAAACAGCTCACCAGTTTATAAAATAGAAGAAGTGATCGCAATAATTAATGTAAATTTTCAATTCTCTTTCCGCTAATGAACTCATGATACGATGCATGCATGCAACATACGTTCCGCGTTCCACTGACGATCAGAACAATGACGGGCGTGTACGCCGATTACCGTAGATCGAGCCCGTCGGCTGCGCGCAGTCGGTCGCGTTCGCCGTCGATCCCGCGGCGCGCCGGATCGCCCAGTTTCTTGGATAGGAGGCGCATCACGAGGTACACGCGCCCGTGTACTACTGCTGCACTCGTTCACCCCCACGCTCCCACGATCCACTACAATGCTTTTGGTATTCCGTGCATACAATAATTGTACAAATAATGTTTCATATATATATATATATATATATATATAGCTTCAGTTAATACTGCAATATGTCGAATAATAATTGATTTGGCATATTTCGTTTAATGTCAAGTCGACCGGGTAATTTTTACTCTTTTCTTTAAAATTCGCAAATATGAAATAATGTAGCTGAATAGTTCGTACAATAGCATATATATGTGTAACTAAGTAGCCAAAACTACTGTTATTCATAGACTTCCTGACCGGACAGACGTTGTCTTAACAGTGAATATTGTATTCAAATCGGTATATTTAATAAAAAAAAATACATCATACAACTTTTCTAAATTTTTTTTCTGTCATAAGAACAAAAAAGGAATTAGCGAATTCGCTTCAGCCGTTCACGCGAGACGCTGTGACCAAAGGAAATAGGGATTCATAATTAATTCAGGATAAAATAGAATATTTCTAGTCATCGGTGCTGAAATTAAAAAAACTATTTTTAACACTAGACAATCACTAGGAAATCTGGCTATTTATAAATATTTTCACACTAGTACATGGCGACCATACCATGTAGATATAATATGATCAATATAAATGCATAAGTAATTGAACTATAATTATTACCAAAAGCATTGTTATGTTTGAAACTAACTTAGGGAATGTTTTTTCGTACAATTGATAATTGATGACATTTGTATTACGCATATATTGCATAAATATTTTGTAATTATTACGCAGATATTATGTATATGAAAATACATATAAAAATGAACTGACAGATGTCATTGAAATTTCAATATGTAGATATTTAACTATTGTTGTGTGATGCTTCTTTTAATCTAATTCCACCGTTATGCTTTTGTTATTTTATTTTGCGTCTATTTGCTGGGTCACGATGATCTACATATTAAATATATATTTTTATATAGAAAACAAAATGGCACAGACAATTTATTGATTCGAATGGATATCATCGTGACATAGCATATTGGTTTTTTAAATTTTATATTATGTATTATTCTTTTATTTTTCTTTCTTTATAGAAAAAAGTCACGAAAGTATAGCACGAGTTCAGAAGACACGAGTAGTAGCTCCAATTAGTGTGCAGTGTGATTGTGCGATAAATTAGTTAGCTTAAGTCCTATATTGTGTATTGTATTGCATAAGTCTAAAATTTATATTATATTGCTAATTATCTCACAGTGTTCTTATTAGCTATGATATTATACGCTATTATTACGGAATTCAATATTTTTATTTCATAATAAATCGTAATTACGTTGGCTGTGAAATAATATTCGTAATTTTTTTGAGTCGGTGTATTTTTATGTTTAATTAATACGAGTGTTTGCCGATCTAACATAAATAGACTAATATTTTGACGTGCTAACATGGGTGTGCTATTATCATAGTAATAATAATTTAAATATACAATTTTAGATATAATTATCTATGAATTCAATACTGGATTTCAATAGACAATGAAAATAGCCACATTTTTCGACAAATAGCTTTTTTAAATGCACATATTATTCGTAAAAGTACCAAATGTGCAATCAATTTTAGTTGTTAAACTGTTTTGTACTTTTCTTATTAAAAAAAAAAGTGTCAAAATAGTTTTTGGTCTTATGAATAAGTTGTGTATAAATTATTTTGATTAGTAGATTATCTGCAGACGGGGTGTGCCATACATTTGCCTAATGTAATTAATTTGCAAATATTTACCTTATTGTTTGTTGAATTATAAAAAATAAACATCAGTCAGTCTCGCTAATACAGAATGACAATTATATGTTATAGTGATAAGGTACAGTTTAATTTACCCATGTTTTTTCCTCCGTAGCGCACCCATAATAGACCTTACTTATCCGCCCAATAGATTCAAGTATAGAAGAAGATAAATGAGATGTTATTCCAGTGAATAAGATATTGAAGGAAGTCGTCGACCAGACGTAGACATGTGCTAGTGCTTAAACATAATGGACTATTTTGTTTCACTTTTCATTTATATTCAGTTTGATTTGTCACATTAAATTTTATTTTAAAAATGGTTGTTTTTATTTTCTTTTTCGCCGCATGGTAGCTGAAGCTAGTTTTATGTTTGCTCATATGTAGATTAATAAATTTATAGCAACGTAATATTCATATATACTTTTTTTATTTTCTTATATCAGTTCAATAGAAATGGAGGTAAGTGATTTCAATTTATATGCTTTAATTCATTAAAACTTTTAACTTCATTCTATAACAGCAAAATAAATTTCAAGTAGAACTGTATTGTAAACAATTAGCGCATGAGCATGCACAACTACATATAATAATTCAGTAACATCACTAACAATCATAAATCCTTACTAACACTAACAGTGCCCGTAAGCGTCCAATACCGTACCGGAGGCCTACCCCGTCGACGCCGACCAGTGGCAGTTATTACAGCAGCAGGTCATCACAGAGAAGTTGGTCCAGATCTCCGCCACAGCCTGAGCACGAATAATACCAACTCGGACATATAATCACTGGTACACTGCGAAAACCACTTGAACATATTTTTTTAGGAAAAGTATCTCTCTCCATTCAACTGATATTTACTTATTTCAAAAGTTTGTTCTACTTTTATATATTTTCTTTAACAAGTGGTTTTTACAGTGTAATGACGATACTAACAAAAATAGCGAATCTTAGCTATATAAATTATATATGAAATTCATGTGAAGGGAACAAAGAGCGAACCGTAAGCTTCTATTTCCATAGAGCAAATAGCTAATGATTGTTTTTTAACACAGTTTACCTTGTTTTATACAAACATGTGTGCTAATATTTAATTAGAATGATATGATATTATTTTGTGATTTCCCAATACTCATAATATACTAGTCTTTTTGTTTGTTGTAAAAACATATGAATACTGGAATTAGATTTAGGATAGTACAACAGGAGACGAGCGCACGGAATGTACAACGCAATACCACGACCATATTGACTGATAAAATATGTGCTAATAAACATATTTATATCGCTGGGTGATGTTTACAGACGATAATTTATAGATGTATAAGGTAAATGTCTTATTTTTTGTGTTCTTATAAAAAATACGTGATCAAATATCAAATTGTGTAGTCTTTAGGGTTTTTATATCTAGTCGAAAAATATTTACAAACTGCGATCATTCCAAGTCAAATCTATTTATGATCTCTTATTTATTATTCTCTATTTTCTTTGTTAAAACTTATTTATTTTGTTGATAATATTATTGATTTCTTTTTTTTTATGGTATCCATTCTCTCAGGTACCACGTATACAACTAATTTATTTTAGTTATTAAGTACTTTGTCGTTTTAGTGTATAGTGCAATATATTTATTGACAGCTGATGATATTTACACTAATTTGCATAATTAAGTACTCTAGTCACATTACTCGTATTTATTTTCTATTATATTCTAATATTAAGATATTGTTACTGATATTATAAATATACCTAGTTATTAGTGAGAAAACTAGTCGAAAAAGTGTATTTAAAATTGGAACAACTGATCAACTAGTACTAATGTTGAGCAATAAATGAAACGAAGGATAGTATTCAATAATAAAACAAGCTCTTATAACGATAAAAACATTATAATTATCATGATGTATAAAATATTAATGTATTAGACACAGATTGAAAGGGAAATCATTGTGATCCTCTGATGATGCTCTCTAAGATATATATCAACATAATAAATCTTAAATACAGTATAGAAAATGGGTCAGAACGATTACTTTCATGGTCAGTTTTGTACCAAACCCGATATAATTATGTAATTAATTTAATATTTTATTTTACACAAATGTAAACAGTCATCTTTTTTAAAACCATATAGTGTCCTATCTGCTTGTAAGGATAGCAATGATATCCCAAAAATGTTAAAATAACTTGCACTCGCCGACCGAATTGATTTTATCGAATTGATAATAACAGCATATAGATGGTTACAGAATATATTATATTAAAATATCTAACAATTTAATGGATTCAATTGCTGTTGTCAAATAAATTAATACAAAATTTTCCTATTTCTTATTTACACCCTATATTTATACGTACAAAAATATATTATCCTCTATAAATGCAGTAGTCAGTGCTTAGCATCATTGAGGAATGTTTAGACACCATAGAATTTACAGAAACAACGCTTTAAAAAAACCCTATACCTTATATTAACTTAATACATAATTTGTTTTACACAAACAATCATTCATGTTTTCAATTATTATTGTGACTTGAAAGGTTTATTCGCGTAAGGATAGTTCTCTTTCCCCATGAAATTGTAAAATATATCCAATAAAGATATATTAAACAATTTAAAAGGATTTAACAAGTATAAAGGTTAGACCTTTACCCAATAATGGACTACAAATTAGGCTTAAAAATACTGCCTAATGAGTGCCCCAAGATTTCAATCCCTTATGTACTTAACAGTTTAATTTTAATTATCATATCCACCACCCCGAGTGCGCAATTGATAAATTAGATCCTGTATATGTTCATTCTTTCTTCTGAGATTGTTGGCGCCTTTTTGTTGCTAAAAATATGCACCAACCCAATCCAACTAAGTTCATAAAGAGTACTCGTAACTGGAAGGAAAATTATACAAAATATTATTATTACGGTGTCTTTTTACGTAACTAAAATGACACGCAAACGATTACTTGCTGGTAAATGACTCCTAAATACCTACAAGAAGAGGTCCACGGACATAGCGTCATCATGTAACGGCTGGTATCCATATTAAGAGTGTGAAATAGCAATGAAATTACAAAGTAAAGCATAAGGTCTTATCTTAGCCCTTTGGAATGGTAACCAATGGGATGATGTGCGTTACATGATCACGTGATGACCCTGTTGCTGTTCATGTAGTACGAGTAACATAGGCGACGATTAATGATACTGTGCAATGGGATAGATAAGCATGTGACTTATTTATCCGATATTGAAGAGAGTGGTATCAATCTATTGCGCCCGGACATAGTACATGTTGTACTTATATAATTTCGTTTGAAGAAGCTTGTGTTATGGGTTCTAGACAATAGATATATAGTTAAATTCGTTGTAAATACGTACATATTATACATAGAAACCACCCAAATCGACACAAACAATAATTCTCATGAATACAATTGTTTATACCGTGCGGAGAATCGAACCCGCGGCCATCGAAGTAAAGCGGTGTGCTAAACCGCCAAATAACAGTCCGTCAATTAGTTAATATAATTTGTTATAGGTGTTCATGTTATCAAATCATCGGACAGTAAAAAATTTACTTGTTAATTTAACGTTTTTCACTTATACTAATTTTACTGTGGTAAATAGATGTAAAAAATCGCTTACCATCGATGGCACAAATGCCAAATTAATAACTTGGAATATCGTTAGCCATTTCCAATTTGCTTGTAATATTGGTACATATAGAACCTGCAATTGTTTCAAAGCTGCCGCATGGTTTTTCCCTTCAAATCTGGCCAACGTATACAAGGAAAACGCTTGCATGAACGGAGCGAATATTAATCTTTCGATAAACAATTGCTTTACTACGGGAAATGCAACTACATCTTCAGGAAACAGATTTTCTAGAGTTTCATAAAAGTAATGAGGAATGCTCCCACCAAATAATAACCTGGAAATGAAAGTATAGCATTTTAGATCTTGTGCTATAAACTCTATTTAACTTTCTTTCACTACTCAATAGATTTATATTATTACGCTACAATTAGGATGTGTGAGATCACAAATATTTAGTGCAGAAACTTACTGCCATTACAACTTTCTCTAATGGTGATATAATTCCTAACGGATTTTTGGAAGCCCCCTCCGAACCGAACCGGGTGCGCCTGCGAGCCTTACAGCGTAGCGTTAAGGAGCGCATCGCGCAGATTCGGGACGGCCGGTGGGGCAAGCTCCTAGAAGAGATAACGCCATGCCACACCGCGTACTGGCGCATAGCGAAATCTCTCAAAACCGACCAACAGACAAACGACATGCCCCCGCTAGTCCGACCCGACAACACTATAGCCTTCTTCGACGAAGACAAGGCTGAGTGTCTAGCGTCCAACTTAGAAGCCCAATGCTCCCCCAGCACGCTCCCAGTCGAGGCAGGTCATCTCGAGAAGATAGACACCGAAGTCGAACGCATCGCGTCCACCCCGCCCACCGAATCCCTCTCACCAGTCACGCTTGATGAGGTCAAAACGCTAGTTAAACAACTACCTATCAAAAAATCACCCGGCTCAGACGGCATATCGAATAGATTAGTCAAAAGTCTGCCATCCCAACTTTTGTTATTACTCGTCGCTATTTTTAACGCGGCGCTGTCCAACGCTATATTTCCAGACAGCTGGAAAGAAGCCGTGGTCATTGGCATCCCCAAGCCCGGTAAAAATAAATCCGACCCGTCCAGTTATCGTCCTATCAGCCTCCTCAAGGCTATAGGCAAGCTGTACGAGCGACTCCTCCTCGCCCGCCTAAAGGAGTTTATATACTCCAAAGGCCTGCTCATCAATGAGCAGTTTGGCTTCCGAGCCAAACACTCATGCGTCCATCAAGTGCACCGCATCACGGAGCACATTCACAAAAACACTCTGTACTTCGCCACCAAGTCCCCCAAAGGCGGTACAGGCGTCCTATTTTTCGATGTGGCTAAGGCTTTCGATAAAGTCTGGCACAACGGCTTGATTTACAAGCTTCATCAGTTAGGTGTCCCCGACAGGCTAGTACTCATTGTACGAGATTTCCTGTCGAATCGCTCTTATCGCTACCGTATAAACGGAGCGTTATCCGACCCGCACCCCATACGAGCCGGCGTCCCTCAGGGCGCCGTCCTCTCTCCGATGCTCTACTCGTTGTACACCAACGACATCCCTAAATTCTCCGACTTAAAAGTCGAAATATCGCTGTTTGCCGATGACACGGCTCTCTTTACATCCGCCAAGTCCCGTGCGACAATAGCCAGACGGCTTCAGAAAGCCGTAACGATACTGGGCGAATGGTTCCGTCGGTGGCGCATAGAAGTCAATCCCGAAAAAAGTGCAGCAGTGTACTTTAGCAGGGAATTCGACTCTATGAATCACCCGATCGAACTATTCGGCCAAAACATCCCGTGGGTTTCGAAAACGAAATATCTCGGCGTCACCCTAGATAGGAAACTAACGTTTCGTCCTCACATCAAGCGTGTCCGCGACCGAGCCGCCTTTATACTAGGGCGACTCTATCCCTTTATTAACAAGCACAGTAAAATGTCGCTTCGCAACAAGCTGACATTATACAAGGCTTGCATCCGTCCCATCATGACCTACGCTAGTCCCGTATTCGCCCACATACCCTACTGTTTAATCAACAGACTACAGGTCATTCAGAATAGGTTTCTGCGTCGAGCCACCGGTGCGCCGTGGTTCGTTCGCAGCGTAGATCTCCACCGCGATCTTAATCTGCCCTCCATCAAGCAGTTTATGAAGGAAGCGTCTCGACGCTACTTCGACTCTGCCCAATCCCACCCTAATCCGCTTATAGTCAGTGCGGTCGACTACGCACCGAGGAGTAATATCCGACATACGCGACAACGTCGCCCGAGGCACGTTCTCATTGACCCTGAGAACCCGTTCCACCCCGACCACACTTTTACACACACACACGACACCGTCCTCGCCGGCGAAGACGACGACCTCAAACACACAATATCGCGCATTCAACCGGGCGCCTGCGCGCGCCCGGGCGCTCCACACCGGCGCCCCCGGGCGCCCCTCCGATCGATCCCCCGTCCAATTCAAACGGGGATCGAAATTACGACGGCCTGAGCCGAGGTTCGAACCCCTAGTGGTGCCCTCAGACTAAAGTCGTATCCGTCGGGCAGGAGTTGGCCTTCAGCCGCTCCATAAGTCCTTCCGCGGGTTTGGAGTGCCATCTGCACTCGCCCCATAACGTCCGGTAAAGCTGTAAAGGCCAGCTACGGCCAACAGCATTAGAGTAGTCCGAAAAAAAAAAAAGCTTGGAAGCGAAGTATTAACTGTTCGGCGAGTCAGTAATGGGCGGAACTTGATCATTCTCGGGAAATCAATGTATGGTGAATCGTAGTGAATTTACCTGTATTAACGTCTCTACGATGACCTAACTTCATTCTCATCGATAGGATCCTTCACTGGTACCCCGCGAGCATATGCCGTCAATGTAGGCGGGTGCACCATTCCATCATCATCATTACAAAATATACGACAGATTTGATCTGAATCCTATTGACTTCTTTCAGTAAATTCACGAATATTATAAAAATACTTACCCATAAAGTCCAAAAGCTAGTATGGGGTCCAGTCTTATTCTACCGCCAGCTAGTAACTGTGATGCAACACTGCCTGTTACACCCACCACGCAGCTGTAATCACCAAAAAGCTTTATGTACTTCATAAATAACACTATACTAGCGACCCGATGCATTACAAATCTTTGAATTTCTTGTTCTATATTATAACACGTATGTATTATACATATAAAACTTCTATCCGTTAAAATCCGTTGCGTAATTTAAAATATAGAAGCGAATAGATAGCCGCTGTGACTTTGTTTTATATTACGTAGGTAAAGATACCTTCTGAACTGAATATATTAGAACATGTGGCAACGCTCGTGTTTCCTAGGACAGTAGAAAAAGGAACCGTCAGTAGATGTTAAATATTTTTTTAACACGTTAAAAACCGCATGCCCACTGATGGATCACTCCGCAACGAAAGTAAATTTACGCATTGGTGTACCCCACGGGTACAACCGACCCTAACCCGGAACCCCCGGATAATATCTACCTTAAATTATTGTACACTAAAAACATATTTAAAAAATTACATCTGTAATTAACAATAAAAAATATACCGCTCCCTATGTGAGAAATAAGACTTTTTAATGCAGTCTTCAACGTGTTAAATAAGTTACGTTGAGATAAAAACTATTATGATTTATCCAAAATATAGATTATTGTGAAAATAGTGTTGTGAACTGAACATATAAAAAGGGCCGTTATCTAGTATAACGGTCCTTTTTATTTTTGGGGTAGTCAGAGTCATTATCAACTGTAGAAGACGTTGTAAACACAATACTAGAAAAACCTCAAATTTCTGTCAGTAACCTATACTAGATTCAACATGGGAGGACGCGAGTTCACCGCTGCATCTCGATTTAATTTGAGTTATTACCAGTGTTTGCATTACCAAAGAGATAACCAGCAATATAAACACAGTGGTCAACGACTGTGTTTATACTCCCAGAATCGAACTCATGACTATTGGAAGCTATAAGTCTGATAGAACGACGCTTTTTGTAATTTACTGGCAGTTTAATCCGTGTTACGAGTGTTTAGACATGTCCATATATAGTGGAGACTCAACTCTCCGGGCCTATAGTTATAAAACTAATATATTATTTAAATAACATCGTTTTATATGTATGTAGGCACATTTGTAAGTACGCAAACGTACGTCTAATCTCGTTAAACATTGATTTTGCTTGATAACTTTGTTTTTGTTTTTAACAAAGACACTTACGCGTACGTAATAAATTAACTTTATAGTTATCCTATAAAAGTGCTTTTCTTATATTTTTTTATGTAATTGACAACTTGAAACTGCTATAATTGACAATTGTTTTTTTACACACAGATATATGGTATTATTATACTTATTTTCTTCCCTCATAACCGTTTACAATTCTAATTCTTAATTTATGATCACTTCAAATTTAAGTTTCGAGTCAATCGATTTTGCCTAGGTCTCATAACCATTTCATGGATAGATACATAATTGAGAATTGTTAATCACATAGTTACATAATTATGGTCCGAGTCGACTTGTTGGTAGGTACATAAGAAATTTCATATAACGAATTATTACTAAGATATTATGTTTTATAACAACTTTTAGGTATGGTAAACCTTGCATTAGAAGTATCTAAGGAAGTCAATTTGCGAATGGCGAATGAAATCGTAGATAAGTAATTAATAAGTCAAATTGTTATCACAAGTAAATATTTTGTTATCAATTGTGAATAAAATAAGAAAGAAGTCCGAAGTACACCACATAAAGTTAATATGGGTACAACATGTCTGGGCTGTATGACTGACCTAATTTAAATAATGTCACCTTATATTCAATACTTTTCGTTTAAAATATTAATTGTAATCATTAACTGCAAAAATACCTACTGTCATATAAACAGCGTTTTTTCACAAGCCTAGCCGGTAAAAGATCTGCCGTAAAGATGGAAGGTATTTTTGCACTTAATTATTAAGTATAATATTACTATATATTAAATATTTAAACAGATAATAATAGTAATATCTGAAAAAAAAAATGTTAGGAGAGTTACATTGTACCAAATATGATAAGGATTCTTGTTACTATGTAAATAATATTCGAACATGAACATAATAGGTTGAATTAAGTTATCTGTGTACAGGAAAGAATAGAAACTGACTACTATCTCTATTGTCCCAAATAAAATCGTATTTTGTCCAAAATACTGACCTAATCGTAAACTTCGAAATCCATACATTCTGTTGAACTTTCTTAAGGGATATAAGGTCACAATATTAAGTAAAATTCTTACCTTGATATAGACTTTGTTCTTATAGGATTTAAATACAAATTCTGTAAATATGATGATAATAATTTCATAATAGGTTTTGAGAGAGCCATTATTGTTACTTTCACTGCAAAATAAACCTTCTAAACTAGATTAACACAAAATATGTACACTAAACGCAAACACACGTCGCTTTCGCTCCGTGATAAATGATTTGTCAATTTATTTATTTGATAACATTTTATCAACCAAGACATTAATAAACATTTTAGGTTACCGAAGGTTACGTATTTATTTTTGTTACCAGTGTCCGAAATTGGAACTAACAGTCTGTTGGAATATTATGCTAAATATATTAAATATAAATAAATAACTAATATATAAATTATTATAGGATATTATTGTAAGTATTTGTAACCATAAATTGTATTGTATCATTATATTTATGATGTATAAAATATTAATATTTCATTCCTTAACAGCGACCACAACGCCATCATGAAGTGCAAATTGAGTTGGGTTGAAAGGTGACGTTTGGCTGAATACTGATATCAGTCGCAGTCAGTCAGCATCAGCAATATTAAATGTACTGATTTGACACAAAGGTTGTGGATTGTTGATTTATTAAAACACGATTATTTATATATAAAATTAATATTATGTGACATTTATTTGAATGATTATAAACAATCAATTTAGACAATAAATTATCGCATATAAATTAAAATATGTATCCATAATTGATTATACAAATAATTGCAATTCCTGTACAGCAGTTCTATTTAACTACCTACCTTAACTACTACATAATAATATACATAACTACCCACATTCACATAAGAGGTTGAAGTGAAAGATGTTTTTTTTACATTGAAGAGAATTTTAATGAAAATATGATAGAAATCTTAATATTAGAAATTGTTAAGCTTTCAGCTTTTAACCAATCATCATGAAATTTGGTATAAACGTAAAATTTAGGACAGACAAATACAGTTATCTACTAGCTTTCTGAGTTTTCGTAACAAAAGCAATACTCAGCAAGCTCAGTTTATAATAAATAATGAAATGAGCACATCTTTATTTCCATTTCAACTAATTGCATACACATTACAACTTTACAAGCCATAGTCGTTAGAGAAAAATTTAATACGTCTAGTTCATAATCTAATATGTATTGTTAAATACCTACTACACAAGATACAGTCACTTGTAATAATAGATAAATATACTTGATTACTATAGAATTACCTGAGACATTGCTAAAAGTGGGGAATAATCGATCATGTACTTTCCATTTTGCTAGTAAAATTTCTCTGTCTGGAAAGTTGTTGCATATCATTTACTTTTTTTTTAGAATAATCATAATAAACTTCTTACAAATTTTCAGATTACTATAGTTAAGTAAGTTAATTTATAATACAATATTTATTTATTCTTTATTGAACAAAATACTTTTGTACAACAGGAGAGCTTAATGCCATGTGGCATTCTCTCCCAGTTTTTATACTTTTGGCTTAGAAGGTAATTTCAATAAGTATCCAATTTCATATAAGTAAAAAAATAAAAATGGTATGGTTAAGAGAATAAGGAAAAGGAAATCAATATGTTCTTTCCAAAAAAAATTAAAAAGGCAAAGTAATTGTTAGGTAAAATAAAATACGACTAATAAATAAATATCAAATGATATGACATGCGGATGCGGCAAGTGAAAAGGTAGACTGACAAATATAAATTCAAAATATTATCGTTTATAAAGTACACTCCCTTTTTATACAAGATAAAATATTTAAGCTAACCTGCAGCTGTATTTAAATAAAGTACATTATACAAAATTAATAAAAATTATTCTACTTTATTGAAAACATACTTAATTTTTTTTCAAAATAGATCTTTGATATTTCCTCTGCTATATACACATACATAAAAAATTTTAGCTACCCCCAAATAATTTGTCTAATTGTCTTTGTAAATTGTTGGATGTAATCGCAGGGGTGTCGGGCATAAGCGTATTGCGGTTTTTAATTCGTGGTGTATTTAAAAAGCCCATATCCCCTTTCAATTGCATATACATGTTCAAGGCTCGGCCATTAATGTCTTTACTGGGTGTTACAAAGGTTGAAACATTTGGCATAGACTTGTGGCATGCTTTCTTCCTTAAACATGAGTTCTTTTTATGTATTGTGTAAGAAGGTGATTTAACAGTTGATTTTATAACAGAGCAGGTTTTTCTAAGTATAGGACTTTTGTCAGCCTCTAAAGTCTTGTCTTTATCACATTCGGGAACTGACTTCCCATGTGTTTTATCATGTATTAACTTTTGCACACATTTTAAGGACTTCATTTGTGATTTCTTGATAGTATCAAGTGTCATTATAGCACTATCAATAATTTTAATGTTGTGTTCAGTTTCCTTCTCGACTTCTAACAAGTCATCAAGCTCCGAATTAGTACATGCCTTGTTTGAAACCTTAGCCTTGTTAAGTAAATCACATAGAGACACTATAACACTCTCTTCTCTTTTGTTATCATTGTTAGTTGTACCTGTTTCAACAGGTTTATCAAAGCACATAATTGTGTTATCATTATACAGAGCCGAATTCTCCAATTCGCTAGAGTTATTAAAATATTCCTTAACATTTCGATATTCTTTAAAAGGTGTAGAAACAGGTGGTGATACCTCTGCAATATTTTCAAGTGTTTGTTCCTCAGTAATGGCTTGTACCTTTATCTCTATATCATTGATTTCTTTTTCTCTTTGCAGGAAACTGGCGTCACAACTGGATTTCCAGGATTCATTAGATAGTGATGTGTCTGGCATTTTTAATTGTGGGTGCAACTTATTATTATTTTGCTTGTTATTTGGCTTTTGTGGTACTACAGTTTGTTTCTCTCTTATCACTCTAGGTTGGTACGAATAGTTCTCTTTGTTTCCAATAGTCATCCTGCTCTTTACTGGATTTGATACCAGTGGTGTTTCTGGTATATTAGAAACACCACTTATCCTGACTATATTTTTGGCTGTAAACAATACATATGTTCATAAATTAAAATAATCTAGTGTGTATTAGTGAAAATAAATATTTTGCAGGAGCAAATATTATGGACAGTGGTAATATGGCACACAGTGTCACTGTAATTGAGATGTAAATAAACATGGTTTTATAATTAACATGAATAACTATGACTATCATGTACAATATAACATTTTACAACAATAACATTATTTTGTCTCCATAATAGAGACAGTGTATAAAAATAATAGTTATTTGTTAAAAATAGTTAGAAGTATGAAATTACTATTAGTAACATACCTTGTAGTAATGACTTCTTTGCTCTAAAATCAGGTTTTGGAAACTTCGGTGTTTCAGGTGCTTTATGCATACTTAGTTTTGAATTTGTCACCTGTGATATAAAATCAAATTTAAAATTAAAACTATAAATCAGAAAAATTGCAATACATAATTTGCTGTGGTACACAAGTGTATTTTTTAAAATGTGTATTACATTAAAAAGGTTATTATACATTCCAAGTAATTTCATATAAAAATATACTTTAGTTTTAATTACATTATGAATGATATAATCTAATGCAAGTAGGTGGTAAAATTACTAATTATAATTTTCAATTGTATTCTTAAATTACTCATTTAAAAAAAAATAATTGTGTAATGTGAACATAGAACAATAGAACAAGACATGCTATTTCCCTCTTATATAGCTTTCACTTTAGGATAATGGAGGTTTATGAATATTACAGCGGACTGTTTTATTATGAATGGTAAGGTTGTTCATTACCATTTCTCCCTGGAAACCATAATGATAAATTACTGGTGAATATGTCATGATGGGATAACTGACCTGACCTCATGCTCATCTGGTCATTCTCCACTGGTGGCTCACCAGTGTAAATTGCTAGCGTTGGCAGGTGCAGCAATTGAATATCATCCATAAAAAACCCTTGGTGGTATTCGCCATTAGTTAATACTATTATTATAAGTTTATGGCAGACAAGTAATTAAGCCTTATTCTTAAATAATACTTATGGTAATCAATATTTGAAAAACAATAATATTTTACCTTAGGCTTTGGTTGGAAGTCAAGCACTTTTCTAACTGGATTATCTCTCAGTTGTCCATCTGCTGTGTGACTAATTTTCCTTTCAACTTTTATTGAAGAGTTCCATTTTTTTTTCTTAGTAGATGTGGCAGCTTGGTTAAACCGACGAGGAGACTGTATTTTTAAGGCTGAAATAATTAAATTAAGAGTTAAAAGGTTTGCTATTTTCAATATTAAATTACAATTACAATTTCTTTATTGTCATTTTCACTCTTAGTACATTTTATTTTATTTATTTATTATTCAGACGGTAATACATAGTATATTATTACATGTCATATTATAAAAAGAACAGTAATTAAATATCTAATCAAAAAATTAATTTATAAAAATGATATACTGGTACCTTGTATGTCTGCTCTCATTTCAGCAATAGTCAATGGTTTTAATACTTTCTCAGCTGTCCGAGTTTGTGCCATAGCAGGTCTTGGCTGTTTTTTTGCAGTAAGTGTGTGCATTGTATCCTTGGACAGAATGCCTAGAAATAAATAAATATCATGACAATTGAACTATTTATATCCTGTATGGATTAAATCTTATAATTAATTAAAGCTTATATAAATAAATAAATATAATTTATTACATATAGTGGTGTTTCAGAATTGAAACTAAACTTTGCATCATAACATAAACCTCAACATTGTAATGGTACAGATACGTACCACTAAGTCCGGGCAACATTTCTGCCATCGTCTTCGGTTTTATAGTTTTTGTTGTTTCCATTTTTGCACATAAAATTAATATAATTAAGAAAATCACATTCAATAAACAAATTCAAATATTTTCATATTTCCCAACTGACATAAATGTCAAAGTAGCTCCTGTTTTTAGTTTATACCATAGACAATATAATGGTCTCTGGTTTTTACAAATGTTATCTGTGAATTATTCAGCCACACAGAGTAATAGGTATATTTGTTTGATATCATATTTTTCTTATTCCTTCTTTCACAGGAAGTACATGAAACGTTTGCTTTTAGTTTAGCATAGGGAGTTTTTATAGTATGGCGTATTATTTCATTACCTAACGTATTCGATCAAAGTTGTTAGTCCGTCTATGACAATAGATTGACATTTCTTATAAAATTGACAGCGTTATTACAGAAATTATACAAAAGACAACGGCTGTATGGGCTTAGACTCTTTGCCTTTCCATTACGGATAAATAAAAAAAAAAAAAAAATGACAGCGTTATGTCACTTTACCCGCTCAATCGTGTTGATAAGAGTTGTGTTGATTAAAAAAAATATATTTGTCCTATTCATAGTGATTTATTGGTAACGATAGAATAGTCTACATAATTAAAGTAATATCTTGTATTTCTTTAAATTTTATAATAATAAGTAATTGATAATTACGTTTAAATCAAAATGGTGTCGAATGTGGAAATCAAAGGTTTTGACGAATTCGCTAAATATACAGATAACATTGATCCTAACGGCCCTCCTGTTTTCTTTTATTTTAGTGGTGAAAAAACTGCAGACGGCAATAGTTGGTGTCCCGATTGTGTGGAAGGTAAATATTTGCATTCAATTAATTTCTCCAAAAATAGCTAAATTATTATTACAGTATAATAATAATAATAGTAACCTAGACGGTTCACACCGCCCCATCTAATCCAAAGTAATACTTTTTTGTACATGTTTATACCCAAGGAACCGCGATCATCGTTGTGCGCTATCGCTAGACAATCGAGACGCATCATATCAGCCGTCGTATCCATAGACCTTAAGCCGCTTAGACTACATTATTTAATGATATCTAATTCTACATGATTACTTATCTATAGATGACCGCAAGGTATTCCTCCCTGAGTCATTACAGCTTGCAGATTTATGTAATGCTTTATAAAACTTTAACTTACTCTGCACCTTTGAATGAGGTTTTAGTTATTAATAAGAATTACAACCTCATTATAGCCCAAGAATAAGATCCATTAACATTATATTTTGGGCAAATCCTGCTTTGTAAAAACTATGGTACATTCTATTTTTTTGTTTAATTTGGCATATGTCACTTGAATAGTAAGAAATGCCGAAACCTAAATATAAAATACAAACATTCAATTTAAACAATTATGTAGAATTCAATGAATTTGTAAATAATATGCCTGAAAAGGGGCCTAAGGTGTACTTTTGGTTTGCTAGCAGTAAAAAAGCTAATGGTAGGAGTTGGTGCATTTATTGTCAAATAGGTGAAAGTGATTGTGTATTGTATTAGATGGCTATAAAGTATATTCATATTCTATACCTAGCTGTAAGCTGTACCTGCCATTTTGTCCATGTATAATTTAACAAAAAACTTAATTAAAGAATTTTTCTAAATTAAAAGTAGCTTAAGTTACTCCTTATTACATCAGCTACCTGCCAATAAAAGTCCCGTCAAAATCAAACAGACAGACAGACAAAAATTGTAAAATATGTTATTTTGGTGTATGTACCATATTTACATTCATGTGCATGTAGTAAAAAATTGTTATTTTGATATTACAAACAGACACTCCAATTCTATTTATATGTAAAAAGTATAGATTAGAATGTTTTTAATATTTGTTGATGAAAATTATAATTAATATTTTTTACACAATTTCAGCGGAACCAATTGTGAGAGCATATCTAACCGAGCTCAAGAAGAGTGTCATTTTTGCATATGTTGATGTCGGAAACAGAGAATAGTAAGTATTTTATATATAAAACTACTAATTTAAATATTATTAAAAGCAATATTGAAAGTTATGTCAACATTAGGTAGGTCACTTTTAGAGACAGAATAAGAGGAGAGGATAGTAAATTTGCTGTTTTGAATAAGCAATATATATTATTACAATGATGGGTGGTGTGTTAGATTGCCGTTGTCAGTGCTCTGATCACAGAGACTTTATATATGTTATATTATGATTTCATATGTATATGAGTCTATAAGGTATTATAGGTCTTTAGTAGCTTGAAATAAATTAGTAAATAATTTTTATGGCTGCTTATGATGCAAATAACCACAGCACCCTATCTTTGAGTTAATTATTTGAAATGGTTTGTAACAGCTGCATCATCAATACCATCAGATGAGACTGTGGAAGATTGCGCTCAATTTTCGTAAAAAAAACCCTTTCAGTGAATGAATTTTTAAAACTTGTCATGTATTTTTTTGAGTTTATTCAAAAACATTCAGTGAAATCTTTACTCTATATAATATTAATATAGTACAATATCAGCTAATTCAGCATGCCTTATAAGGTGTCATTTACAGATTACAGCTGAAGGATGAGATAAGGCAGAAAAATTACAGGATAATAGGCATGACATCTTTGTCTTTTAGAGTGCAATGCAGGAGTGGTAATATATATGGTACTTGTTAATTTTGTCTGTAGTGCCTGTGTATAGGATTTATGATCATATCAAGTTAAGGTTTTTTTAACGAAGCCTATTATTTTGGTTGTTATTAGTGATTAATGTCTTATTATATTAATTATAGCTGGAAGGACAAAGCGTGCCCCTTTAGAACTGATAGTCGAACTCGACTCATGGTGATACCGACTATCATCAAATGGAAGGGTGTACAGAGGCTCGAAGGTGAACAGTGCAGCAAGAGAGACCTGTTGCAAATGCTTTTTGAGGAAGAAGACTAAGTTTATTACGTTTTGTAATTCCATTAATCAGTATGCTGCATATTTGTATTATAAAACAGTGTAAAACATAATATGTAATCATAAGTATTGTTATCAATAAATATATTTGTTATTTTTTCACATATTATTTTTTTTTTAATTTGTGTGTCTTTATTAAAATAAAGTTGGATATAGAATTGGAGTTTGTTAGATGCATACAGTCTGGATATTTTTAGATGGACTGCAGTTTTTATACAGATTTTGATTAGGAGCTAAATGAAATGTGGTTTTTAACATACATTGTTATGAATTATGTATCTACGTAATAAAACGAGGTACTTGTTGAAAATATTTTACTTTGAAATTAATAATAAAAATGAAAATACAATTATAGAATTTACACTGCATCTAATAATTGGGCCAGGTATTATGACGTTAAGTACTGTATTTATGACGTTAGGACTATCTTGATATATATGATTGAGGAAAGATTTTAGAAATATCGCAACAAATTACCTCATTTTAAGTTATTTGTTAATATGAAATTAGCATATAGTGAAAAGTGACTTAGTTTAAATAAAACTCCAAATATGATTAAAATTTTTGTATTTAAAAAACATATTCCCCGTATTGTAAAAATATAAAAAATAGCGAAGTATTATATTTAGCGGATAATCTGTAAATTTGTGAACCGAGGTGTAACTATGACTACATAGCTCATTTTTTTAGGGGCTACATTAATTAGGGGAGGAGATTTGTTGACCTCAGTATGAATATGAGACCTACTGAGCAAGAGGTATAACTACAGTCGTCTCTATAATTTATTTGGATTACTAACTGCTATCGATGTTTTCCATCCCCGGCAAATTAATGGGAAATTTAAATTGTCAAATTTTAGTTATTAAACCGGACGCTCGCAAGTCCCTATCATTAAAACTAAAATATTTATTATTAGATAAAAGTTATGAGTAATATTTGATAAAATTGTACATTTAACCGGTTATATAAATTGTAGTAGGTACATATTATATTTAGTTCCTATAAAAGTATAAATTTTGTCATTCAATTAAAATATGCGATACGAAAATTTATTCAGAATAATTGAAATAGTACCTAGTATTTATCATTAGTTTTAGAAATTGTGTTTGAAGCATTGAGGGATTATATAATTTATGGAAGCATGCAAGTTCTATTTCCTTTATTATTTGCACAAAACTTATGTGCACATATGGCGGACTTAACAGCTTGCGGCGTTATCTACCAATCAACCATGAGTGGTGCAGAGAAAAATTGTTGCCCGTGCACTAATATAAATGAGACATTTTTAGTTATAAATATATGTAGGCGTTGTTTTAAATAGAACTAATATAATTGTAGACAACAATGCTTACAGCTTATGGATAATGCTTGATAAATGAGTTACAATACAACCGTAGCTTTTTATACACCTACTATAGAATGAAATACAATAATTATTTATTAAAATATATGTAATTAAAAAAAATACCCCTTATGTCATAGTATACAAAAAATATTTATGTACAAAACAAATGCCCTAATAATTTCTATTAACAATAATTGTCCATATTAAATTGTTTTAAATTGAACAAACAATATTATCACAGAAAATTCTTGAATCAGTTCTCTTAAAGAAATAACGTCATATGGAAATGTAGGGTACATTAAAAATGCATTTTTTTTTCAGTGTGAAATTATGATCTGAAAACGAAAGATCCGACTGATGTTATTTCTACAAGATTTAACAATTAATAATTAATCTACTATAGTAATATAAAATTATTATTAGTTTATAGACTGAATACAAATAATGTAGTTCTTGTATTTAGTTTGTTCCATATACGTAGTATCTCTGGTCATTCTGCACTTTTAAATATAAAATTTGGGCTAAAATGCACAACCCTATTTTAACTTTTCACTACTCTACTTCCTATTGGAAACTATACTTTAGCGTAGGTAGATAGACATACATAGACAGGCATCTTATATAGTTAACGTATGTGTTATTTTTTTTAAGAGTAATTGATTATGTGTATATCTATTTCATTGACTTTGGGCGCTATAATCTTTATATATATATAATAAAATTGTAAGATCGTGCATGTCACGATAAAAGATGAAAACTGCTGGAACGTTAAAACGGCTAAAAGTATTGGGATGAATTTTTACAAAGAATATGTTGATTCATATTTTGTTAAATGTCTATCAACATATAGGCTAAAGGAAAGAAGATGACAAAAATATTCACCAACAGGTGAAATAATTGATTTTGGGAAATATTCCGATGCGCCACAAATTTTTTTACTAATTCATTACTTAAATCATAGATGGCGTTGTAAACAGGATTTATTTATTGTTGACGTTTGGCTTACCGTCAATAGATTGCCGATCTACAAATGTACCTCCTCCATGCGTACGAAATCGATGTTTTAATTGTTAGTTATTTAAAATTCTTAATATAATTTGTAACGATAAAATTGCGGTATTACAGGTAAGCGGCAGGTTTCTCTGGATTGCTGTCATCAGGCTCGTCGCTGATGTTGAGGTCTCTGGTTGGTATCGTGATCAGAACGTCGTAGAACACCTTTCTACTTCGCAGATAAGAGCCTGAGTTATCAAATATCACAGTATCTGTGGAAGAGAATTAAAAAAGCGTTACACAATTAAAAAGTACTTAAAGACTATAGATAGTTCGTTTAGTGATTTTAGCATCTTAACTGCTCATAATGTAACCGCAATTAACATGGACTGTTTTTTAATGCGAAGCGTTGGCAGTTTGTGTTTATTGATAAATAAGTGAGAGCTCAGAAATGTAATAAAGCATACGATAAAAGTAATTTACTATTGGTATATTATACTGAAACATGCTTAATTTTTTTTTTATTAATTAAGAACGTTCACTATTAAATTTCTAAAATTATGCTATATTAAAAAAAAAATACGAATTTTGTGTCTAAATACGAATGATATTATCATTCGTATTATAATTATATAATATAATATGATTTGCAACAATTATTCACAAGCAATCGACATACAGTCACGTGATGGATTTACTAAAAAAAAGTTTTTTATTCTGTCTGTCCATATTGGGAAGTGAATCAAGGCTTACATGTGGAAGGTCCAGTTACAGGCAGCACGCCGATGTCGAGTGGGCCCTCGGAGACCTTCCTGGGTCCGTGGACAATGCTCTCGGTGCCTTCCTCGCTGGTGCGTTTTATAAGGAACTTTATGTCGTGGCTGTCAATACCGAACTCCCATCTGTAATTTAAATAAACATTAGATATACAATTAATACAACGCTATGGCGTTGTGGCCCAATGGCTTACTAACTCAACATTGGAGGGGGAAGAGGATTGTTAGTAATGTGAACTGATGATCTTATTGCTAGTAATGTACCATGTAAGGTTGACCTCCACGCGGTTTCCCCTGGAAACCATCGCGATAAATTCATGGTGAATTTGTCACGATGGGCTAACCTGACCTCATGCTCATCTTAACATCCTCCACTGGAGTCCGGCCAGCGTAAACCGTTAGCGCAGGAGGGTGCACCATTCTATTATCATCCATAAAAAAACTCAACATTGGATATTAAACTGAAGTCGTATTTGTCAAGCAAAAGTTGGCCTTTAGCTCCTAGGTACATAAGTCTTTCCGGAGTGTGTCCGTTGAAGCTATAAAGGGCCATTGTGACATGAGAATTTTGTGGACGCCTATTTGAACTGTTTACAATTCCGCAACATAAAACCAAACTGAAACCAATTGAAAATTTTAAAAGCTTATTATTAATGTAAATTCTCAAATCTCGAACAACTTCTGCCTCTATTAATGCACTGTTTCATAACTTGTATGAATTAAAATAGTTTTTTTTTTAACGTGAGAAATGAATAAAGTTTCATTTTTTTTAATTCAAAGATAGTTTGTTCTTAATACACCATGTGGAGAACCTGTCTAAGTCTTTTTGTAGTTCGTCACAGTCAGATGAATTATTAATAATTTTCATAATTTTCAAGTCATCAGCATATAAATAAATGTGTGAATTTGTAAAACAATCCGCGACATTATTAATGAAGAGATTAAATAATATAGGGGAGATGTGGGATCTCTGGGGGACTTCTGAGGATGCTATATACTCTTCTGAAGTAAATCCATTTACCACTACTTGAGATTTACGAACTTACTTTAAAACGCTATTGGAATCACACAGCAAGTCAACTGAATGCTTCTCCCCAGTCTTTATTGTAACTCGTTTGTAGTCTTTTGTCGTTTCGTTCTGGGAATTCTTCAAATAGTAGCTCTTTGGCACCTTACCGCCACGCTTCACCTGAAAATATAGTGTTTGTAGTCAGAACATGAATCCGGCTCGAAGGACGCCTATTTAGGTTTCTTGTTATATTTTGTGCTATAGATAGATTTCTAAATGTACATGTAGTGATGAATACAGAATTTTCTAGAATTTAAACTGAGATGAACTTTTTTTCAACCTGAATGGATACTTCTTTCTTAACCATCTTTATAAGCTGTATTTCGATTTGATTCAATTACCTATTACAAATTAGTCCTCACGAAAGGCAATGTCACGTGATCAAGTGATATCAGCGGAGCCGTTTATGTACCTGCATACTACATACGAAACTGTGGCAACTTCCCAAGAACCTTTATACATTATTTATAACTGGTAGTCGTTCCAACGGTAGAAATTGGACCATAATTAATTCATACTCCAAATTTGAACATTAGGTTTCATTACATCTATACGTGTGTGTCTCAAATACATGGCAGGGTAATGTTTTTTTACTGATTTAATAATTATAATTTATATGATTTGTCAAATAAATATATTTTTAGATTCGAATAGAAAATCCTTTATTCGAATAAACTTAAATTTAATCCCTTTTGAATAATCTTACTTGTTTCTTAATCTACAGCTCATTCGTTAAGCTGTCTCATCACAAAAAGAACGCGTAACAAACTTGCATGTTTCTCGTTTAAGTAAATATTGTAACTTTACGTTTTTCTACTATTATTTTTTCATTTTTCTTTCTTTGTTTCAATTTTGGTATACTTACAATGAGGCTGCACCTCGGGTCCCCGTTGTCATCCACCATAGTGCCTCCATAATGCACCGGCAATTGTTCTTTATCTATGAGCGTCAGCACTTGCGCTTGCCACTTCTTTGTGTCGCTGCTGTAGATCTTGATTTTAGATATGGTGTTCTCATGCATGAACTTCTTTATCACGGAGAAAGCGAGTGAAAATACTTTTGGCGCTGTAATTAGAATTAAGTTGGCAATATATTACTTATCGCATTTTTTAAAATATACAATACAATATGTATTATACAGTATATGTTGCTGCCAGATAGTCCACCATTCTTTTTATATTAGTTTCAAATTTTATATTATTTTGATATCTGTTTTTTATGTCACTTTTTGACTTCTTCGCTGTGAGCCCTTTTGGGAAATACACTAAAGATTTATATTAACAGTATGTTGCCGCTCCAGTCACAGTATAAGTATTTTATCCACAAGTGAAATGGCAAAGGCACAAGACCGGATGGGTAAATCTGCTGCATGGCGATTTAGTTGATATTAAAAATTTTCAGTTTTTTTTACTACCCCTCTACAGCTGGTAACATTATTTGAAAATTTTACGTTTCACCTGTCAATTTAGTCTCCGAGATTAAAAAACAGATTATAAATTGTTGTCATTATTAAGTACATTTAGCTCTATTGTGGTACAGTATAAAATCTGTTTATGACCTATATATTACATAAATATAATATTACCATAGATAAATATATTTTTAAATTATAGTACTATCATCGCAAGTAAATATCTTAATCATAATGATAAATTAGTTAATTATCAGTCCAAATTCAAATCCATAGATAGGTATGAAACTATAAAGATTACAGAGTAAGTGATTTAAGGTTCACGTAATGTTATTATGTTCAACCTGACCTATTTACATTTGTAAACAAAACGATCTTTATAAAATGACTTATTAATGTTAAAAATTAAATATCATTCATTATTTACTATGTACTTACCCCCCTACTGTTACTGAAGAGGGCAGTTTTGTTATTTGATTATCATGTGGCAAAATTAACATTACAATCAAAGTTTTTAATATTATGTGTATGTATATGATGAATGAATAGTTATGTTATTAATATTAATTTTATCAAGAAATATATACAATAGAAAAGAATACATATAAGAAAAAAGAAATAAATATACATATACATTAAAAGACACAATTAGTTTTCTAAAAGTCGTTCTCTCGCTGCGCTATCGTATAAGTAGGTATACGGGTGTATTAGGTACGGGTGTATATAGGTGTATATAAAACACCAAACTATACATACCGTTTACTAGGAAACATCTTTTAAGTATCTCTGGATAGTTGGCTTCATACATTTGCAGCAATGAGAAAACCATCTCTGCTGCCGGCTTCCATGCATACTGCTTCATACTGAAGTCTTCCAAGTCGAAGATCACTGTAAGCTACAAGGAAATGGAAACTGCATTTTTTTAACTGGATTGGAAAAGAGTATAGCTGTAGCAACATAAAATACCATAATAAGTGAAGTTCGCTTTTATTGTAGGCATTTGTCAAATCAAATCAAAATGTTTTTATTACAGACTCTTATGGCATGACAAATATACCGTCAGAGTGTTTTCGAGCTGAAAAAAAATGACAAAAATCTCTGCTCTTATTCTTTTCACAATTGGCTTGTACGTGTTTACAAACATAAAAATTCATTTACATATAAATTCATATAAAAGTTAAAAGATCATTACTATGGGCGTGGTGTATCGGCGCTACCTTGGCAGATTTTCGTCGTCAGCGCCGTGACCATACAAACAATTTATATTTTATTGGCTGACTCCGCAAACTTTGTTTTGCCATAGAAATTAAAGTCGCTATTAAAATTATAGGGGTTGATGGTAGAAGGGTGAAAATTTAGGGTTTATGTGTTTTTTAATGAAACATTATAAAAAATTGCCCAAGTAATTTAAAAATAAATGTAGGGGTTAACAATCTTTATCAGTGACGGGTATGAAAAATAGATAGTAGCCGATTCTCAGAACTACTGAATATGCATATAAAATGTCATAAAAATCGGTCGAATCGTTTCGGAGGAGCATGGATTACGACGCAACGGATTTGAAGCTGTTTTTTTCATAGATAGAGTGATTATAGAGATAAACCCGTGCGAAGCCGGGGCGAGTAGCTAGTAATAAATAAAATAAAGAATTACCTGCAAAGCAGACGATCCATGAGTCAATGACTGCTTCTGAGACATTGCAAGGTAATGCTCTAAATGTTTCAGAATCATCCGAATAATGTCAGACTTGGTTAACGAATGCAGCATCCCCCATACGTCGAGGCCTATCAATGGCACTATTATAACTGAAAAGACGACATTAAACTTATGTTAGTATATTATGATATTTTGATCAGCACAGAAAAAATATTTAACACATCGACAAAAAACATTTTGATACTAGCTACAATTTACTGCTAGTTTCTAAAAAATCATGAGTTATATTCTTTTTATATAATTTTAAAATGTTCCGTTGAGTGTATTTCAAACATTCTTCATGAATATTTAAAATTTAATATATTAAACAATCAATAGTACTGAGAGCAACACAAAACTTTCTTGATCGTTCTTCTTGTGATGAGCCAGATTTCCGAATGAGCGGTAGATAAAAAAAATCTGGTAACTATACAAAAGTGCTTAGATTAAGTTTATTTGAATAAAGGGTTTTCTATTCTACTGAATTGAATCGTTGTATATGTACGTACTAGGAGATCCTTCCTTATCGAAGCCCGTGGAACCGCTGGGGAAGAATTTCTGTAGAAGTTCTGGTCCCTCCCACTCTTGTAACGTATCCACTCCCCACTTCTCTCGCCATTTCATTGACTGAAAACACAATTGTTAATGTATTTTCAACCGTCTTCTATATGCATGAACAGCTCTACGTACAGAACATTACAAAATACATTTCGAAGATCTCTCATGTATTGTTTTCTTAGCACTATGTAATATTCATATCTGTACTGAGGTGTTATAAGTCCCCTGCAATTTCACTGCCATATAATTACTACCATTTAAGCTGAAATAGCTTCAAAAAGTAAACAGAATTAGGTACGAAATTATGTACGCGGGTACCTGAGTCTAATAAATACTTAGGTGTCCCGTAGGCAGCTTTGTAGGTACAAAGTTTATAGTCAAAGTTTATATCTGGTAGTGTAATCTTTTTTACACGTCGGCAAACAAGCATACGGCCTATCCGATGGTAAACAGTTAACGTAGCCTATGAACACCTGAAACAGCATGAGTGTCACGTGCGCACTTCCGGTTCAAAATGTAAAACCCGTAAATGTATGTATGCAGTATGTAGTATTATCCTAGTTTACAGATTACACTTGAAAATAATTACAGATCTGAAATTCAGAGACTGTATTGGCTAGCACCTACTATTGCGTGAGAGAAAAATTTAGGTTACACACGCTTCATAATGTTGATTATAATTATACATTGTAACTAGCCGTTGTTTTGCCATATAAATTTAAATCGCAAATTAATATGGCAAAACTACGGCTAAAAAATAGGGGTTAATGATAGAAGGGCGAAATTTTAGGGTTGTATGTATTTTCAATGCCACAATACCTATATAAAAAAATATCTAAAAATATATGTTAGGAATGGACAACCCTTATCACTTAGGGTATGAAAAATTCTCAGACCTACTGAATATGCATATAAAATTTCATAAAAATCGGTCAAGCCGTTTTTGAAGTGTATGGTAACTAACATTGTGACACGAGAATTTTTATATATAAGATTATAAATAACTAGCACTGCCTCGCAGTTTCATTTGATCACCCTCATCTCTTAACATAGACATACTGATTGAGTTTTCTTTACATATGAATCTTCAAAAGACATGCGTGAAATTTAATAAAATAACTATACCCAGGAATTGGGGTATCAAATGCAGAAAGGGTTTTTATAATCCAAATAATTATAGCAATTCGAGGCCAATCAATTGAACTCTTAGCTTATATACTACAGTATATACATTGTTTACTGTAGTAGTATAAAGTACCTATATACAACTTATTAGTACAGATTGCTAATTAAAATAATACTTAGATATATGTCAATAATGTAAAGGTTATAAGTTCAAGCGATGATTATCTTACTATGTTTGCTGTAGGCTACTTCTATGCCTATAACTAGATTATTGGCAACATTGCAATCTGCTTACATTGTATCTTAAATCCACATAGATTAGTAACAATTTGCTAATTGGGACGTTCAATAAATATTCTAACTATATATTCGAGTAAACAAGGTGGACTGTATTTTATTTATAAAAAAAAAGTCCCTTACATTAATTGAGTTTGTGTGGATTCAGGACGATACGCTAGTAAATTTAAATATTTAATGCACTATTTAAAATGAATGTACAATTGACTTTTTTTCGGACTACTCTAATGATGTTGGCCGCAGTTGGCCTTTACAGCTTCACTGGACAATAGGGGCGAGTGCAGATGGCACTCCAAACCCGCGGTAGGACTTATGGAGTAGCTGAAGGCCAACTCCCGCCTGACGGATATAATTTTAGTTTCACGGCACCGCTAGGGGTTCGAACCTCGGCTCAGGCTGTCGTAATATCAATTCCCATTTGAATTGGACGGGGGATTGATTGGAGCTTAATGCCATATGCTATTCTCTACCAGTTAGGCATTGGGTAAAAACAGAAAGTGGTTGAAAGGCAGGAATGGAAAAGGCATACTTTGGTATTTACCTAAATTAGGTAAATGTATATATACTAATATGCTTACATAATAAAATTATAAACACACAATAATAGGTATAATTAATATTGGAAAGCACTTACATCTCGTAGCATCTTTTCAGCGGCTTCTGGGTTCCAGTTTCTAGCTGAAATTAAATTATAAATATTTTTATAAATAATTAAACAGCTGTGAATAGTTTTAAGGGTATCATTAGGCACTGAAAAGGAAGGACTATTAGGATGACAGCCATGATATCTAGGTCAAATCAGATGACAATTAGGCACGGATGTCACATGATAACGTGATGTCTATGGGGGGAAGGGTATTGTTAGTAATGTGGACTGATGACCCCATTGCTAGCAATGTACCATGTCAGGTTGACCTACACGCGGTTCCCCCTGCAAACCATCATGCTTCCTCCTGGTGAATTTGTCACGTTGGGCTAACTGACCTGACTTCATGTTTATCTTACTTACTTCACGAGTGCCCGCCAGCGAAAACCGTTAGCGCAGGTGTTTGCCTTAACGTTCCATTATGCTCAATTTAAAAAAAAAACGTGATGTCCGTTGCTGTCCATGTATATATGTATATAGACGATGGTTGCCTATATCAGTTTGTTTGTCATACAAATTACATAAAATAGTTAGTTACAATGTTTTATTTAAGTAAGCGCTTACTTTGTTGTCCGCGGACAACAATATACTCTACATAATATGCTTTATTAAGTTTAATAATTCCTTTCCGATTTTCTTATAATTATATGAAATTACGATTGTTATTTCAATTTAATATATAGTTTACACTATCGTAATATCCTCGTGTTTTTTATATACCAGACAATGTTGTGTAAAAATAAATATATATGTGTGTGTAGTATAGTCTGTATAGTTTCGGTAACTAAAATATAATATCGCACTCATACATATCCTATCCAACTATTTTACTTAAGACTCTATGTTCAGATATTTCAGTATTTTTTTATACTTAATATTTAAACCATGTGAGGGTTAGTCCTCTAACCTCTAACGACTAACGACAATCTTTTTAGTCTGTCAAAAATTACCATGTGTCATGACATACAACCATAGAGTCCTTCGCGGATAAAGGCGGCTAAAATTTCCTTCTTTTGTTTTTTTTTTATACTATGATTGTGGGTGGCAATCAATAAGCATACGGCCCATCTGATGGTAAATGGTTACCGTAGCCTATGAACGCCTGAAACACCAGGGGTATCACGTGCGGTAGCCGACCCTTAAGAAACCTTAATATATTCTTAATGTGATGTAATGCGAATACCTTAAGATGATGATACTGTTCAATTTTCGTATCATAGAAGTCGAGATAGAAAAACTAAATAAGTTCTATATAATTTTAATACAGTGATATAGTAAATGGCTTATGTGTAATATCTCCTTACCTTTTAGCCATCTTAGTAAGAAATGGTCATTGTGTTCTGGTTTTAATACATCCTTCACACTTCTCCGGAACTGTAACAATAGAAATGACATTGTGGTTATTATACATATATATATATATATATATATACATTGTATTATTAATATATATTTAATAACATAAGCAAAAAATATTATAAAATTATAAATATTACTTAATATATACAAAACTCGTGCAAGGCCGTGGCTGGCCAATAGAAATAAGTACGTATAATTTAATTAGTCTGAGCCAGTATTTATTTTTACTAATGTAAACATCAGGTACTGAGCTAATATTTTGTATGTACGGCGATATAGGTATATTGGTTCCGTCGTGACTAATCTGGCCTCTGTACTTATTAGATCCTCAAACAGGAAGACAAACAGACACAAAATATTAATGAAAAGGACAAAAAGTATGAATTATTCTAAATACTGTGGTATCGATTCCATAACTCAAAGCTTTATAACGGAGTCACTGGGTTCGAATCTATCTCTATCTATTTATCTTGGCCGACACAAAAAAAACGGTGTGTGTAAAATTATATTTCTGACTGACTGTTCTGTGATGGGAACATCGATGACAAACCAAAATAAATGACGGCGACAGGCTCACCCTCTACCATTTATTAAAACCTGGACTGATGTGTCATGTCACCAGTTTTTTTTTGTGGATGATAATGGAATGGTGCACCCGCCTGCGCTAACGGGTTACGCTGGCGGGGCACCGTAGTTGAGACTGTCGTTTACTATCCCATCTGCATGACATCGGTTTCCTTATATTTTTCAAGAGTTCCAAAGTTTGGGAAACTATAGGACTTGGAATAGGATAGTTTTGGATTTTGGGATATGGATCAGAGAAGTTAAGGAGAGATGCACTTATAACTATACTATCATAATAATGTTGATATTTCTATATGAATTTACTAAGCAACATGTTGTATAGTGTTGCTAAGCAACTTTATTGACATAACGGCGCTGGGAATATTTGAATATTTTTATAAACACACTATTTGGTTACAATTAAATCAATCATGGCTGAAGGCGATAATATATCAACTTTTAGTGTAGATGGGGGTCAGGATACTGTTGGACTGCCTCGGATTGTTATGGTAACCGAGGGATCTGATACATCAGCATCGTCCGCATCATCGACTTCATCTTCTGAGGATAACTGGGCAGACCTCATCAAATCATCAGAAATACCTCCTGAATATTGGCATATACAAAAACTCGTGAAATATATGAAGGCCGGTAATCAAACCGCTACTATGGTTGCACTCTCTTGTCTGAAGGATCACGATCTTACAATAGAAGTAAACCAAAGGGCGATTCAAGAAATCGGTGGTTTAGAATTGCTAGTAAATTTGTTAGAAACCAGAGATTTATGTTGTATTTTGGGGGGTCTTGCTGTTTTAAAAGATATAACACCAAATATTGAAATTAGGAAGAAAGTCACAGATTTGGGAGCGATACCTTTGCTCGTAGGACTTTTATCGGATCCAGCAAGAGACGTGCAAATACTCGCGGCGGAAACTATAGCCAATTTAGGTCGAATTCGCAAAAGCAGAAAGTTTTGTAGAAAATTTGGTGGAATACCGAAACTAATTGACTTGTTGGACATTAAAGAAAGGTAAATTTAATGTGTTATTAACAAAATACTTATATGTAAGACATGTAACTTATAATAAATGTCTACATAAACTAGGTATTTGGTTACACCACGTGAAGAATTAAATCAGGATGAGTTGCAGTTTTTGGATATTGCACGAGCTGGAGCGAAAGCACTTTGGTCTATGTCATCCTCTCAAAGAAATCGTGAAGCAATGAGGAAGTATGGTATGATACCTCTCATCGCGCGAATGCTGAAAACAATTCATCTAGACGTAGCAGTACCGGCGGTGGGACTCCTACAAATGTGCGCAAATGAGACGTCATTCCAACTAGCTATACAAACTGAGAAAATGGTCAATGATTTAATAAAACATTTGGGTAATGAGGATAAGGATTTGAAGGTGAGCTATTATTTTTTATGTGCTAGATTATATCGATAGATTTCTGAACGGTTTCAAATAATTAGAAAAGATAAAATTATTTTGTTAACTGCTTACTTTGAATTTATATAATTATTTTTGTTGCCAAAATCTTACAGACGTATTGTAGTTTAGCTATATACAAGTGCGCAAGTGATTCTATAACAAGGGACATGATTCGTGAAGCAGGAGGACTGGAACTGCTGGTGGAGGCTGCTCAAGACAGCACTAACAGGACGAATAAACCACTAATGGCAGCTGTAACTGGTGCGTTGTGGAAATGTGCTAACAGCGATGCGAGCGTCAAGAAATTAGATCAACTCGGTGCAGTACCCATATTGGTTAAATTATTAGATGATGAAAATGATGGAGTCTTAACCAATGTAGCCGGGGCTTTAGCAGAATGTGCTAAATATGCTCCTAATAGAGATAAAATAAGAAGTGCGGGTGGCATTCCTATGCTAAGTAAGTATAAGGTTTCTGAAACCACTTAATTATATACATATATATGTATATATAAGAATTTGATTGCTTTATTGATTATTTTTCAGTTCACCATCTAAACAATACGTATAAACCGCTACTGGAGAATGTCCCACTGGTCTTAATGGAATGCGCTAAAGAACAGAATTGTATGTCAGAAATTGATGAATTAGATGGTGTTAGACTTATATGGTCATTATTGAAAAATGACTCTAAAAAAGTTCAGACTAACGCTGCTTTAGCACTAAGTCCATGTGTACAGAATGCGACTGACTCTGGAGAAATGGTCAGATCTTTTGTTGGGGCTCTAGACTTGACCGTTGATTTATTAGATTCAGATGATCATAATGTTTTATCAGCTATTTGCGCCGCCATAGCAACGATTGCGAAGGACCACGAGAATTTAGCAGTTATATCTGATCATGGTGTCGTTGGCAAGCTATCGAAACTTGGTAAGTGCACAATCATACTAGTAACAGAGTCTTCTGTTACTAATTATTTAACAAAATTCTGTATAAACATACAACTTTACTTGCAGTTAGTACAACCGATGATCATCTTCGAGCCAATTTGGGTGTAGCAATTGCGTATTGTTGTGATTGGGCGCAGAATCGACAGGAGTTTGGTCGACGTGGAGCCATCACACCCCTTGTCAATTATATGACATCGCGTGACCCTAATGTCCATAGAGCAACAGCATTAGCTCTGTATCATCTCTCATTCTACTCTATAAACTGTGTTACAATGCATGCGGTAATTATATACATTATTTATATAATTATGTCACAACTGGTTAGCCTTATCATTTCAGGTAATCTATATAATCTATTTTCATGATGATGTACTTTTTAAAGTCACCACATTGTGTAAAAGATTTTTATGTAGAAGTAAAAGAAGTGTATCTTTTACGTCAAACTAGGAATCATAATAGATATTTTTATTCAATTCCTTAGTTTAATTTCTTCTTACGGAATAAAGAACGGTTTGCTCGCGAGCAGAATTTAGACAAAAAAATATGTGTCTCTCTTTTTACAGGCGGGTGTAGTACAGTTCTTGTTAGAAACCATTGGATCTAAGGACCCGATATTACAAGAAGCATCCGCTGGTTGCCTCTGTAATATTCGAAAATTGGCTCTAGCGGCGGAGAAAATCAAATTGAAGCAATAATCATAGCATCATACAATAAATTGTCTGAGTGTTGAAATTAAAGTAATTTGCTATACGTTTACTATATTATATAGATATTATTTTAATCTTTAGAAAGTAAAATTGTTTGTTGCTGTTTTGTCGTATGTCGAATGCTCGCTAGGAGTATTTATGCACATAATGATTAAAATGAAAACAATACGAAGTATATACATTCTACCTAAATCAACTACTGCCTAGTAATCATAGGAAAATCTAGAAAGTTACAGGTAATGGTGTTTAGCTTTGGAAATCATTAGTTGATTTCCAAAACTTCCAAAACCAAGACACGTCATGCAAATGTAGTTTATTCTCAGCTCTATCATGCGTTATGGAATACATATTATTTACGTTTTATTTTAATAAAGAAAAAACAGTAGGTACAAGGGACATTGTCTGTTAAAAAGTCGAGGACGTCAGGAATCGAATAAGTGAATAAAAATATTAAAAGTGTTAATATCACCAAGTAACCTTTCTCGAGTACGTAGGTACAAGGTGACGTGAATCAGTATGATTTTATTTGTTCAGGAATGGCCTCTGAAGGGAATAATTGGCAACCATATCAAGGAAAGTCAAGGTATTCTTGTATTTATATAATAATTACGAAAATCCTGTTGATTCAATAATGGTAACGATACAATATTGTTGCACGTAGGTAGCCACCACCGAGTAAATAAACCACTACGGCATGGCATTAGCGAGTGTAAGTGCCATGATGCCCTTATGAGAAGGCATCGTAAATTGAATCCACGTGACCACCTATAGAGTTGAAAGGTGAACAATTATCTTCTTTTAAATAATGTAAAGCACGTAATAATAACGAAAACTATATTACTATAATTTTATAACTTTACAAGTAATAAAATAATTTTAGGTACGTCAGGTATCTACCTAAAATATACATATATCAAATATATACCCAACACAAAAACCTAAAAAGTAAAAAACCTTGATACGAAAACAATCATTATTTGAAATTTATAACACCCCACTTTTAGCATCAGGAGTTAAAAGTAAAGTGTACGCAGTTACATGCATAAAAATTTTTCAAGTCATTAACTTTAATTTTGGATTGTTTTTCATTACCAGAGACTAAACGATATAAATTAACACACATTTTTTGGTGTCAGCTTTAAAATTTACCTTGATAATTCCTATAGGTATATCAAGGTAAGGTATACAGTAAGATTCTATCGGCCTAACAGCAAAATTTCTACCAAGTTATTCAATCTCTCGGAAGAGATTCCTTGCTTCGCAACAGTGGTTTTAGATTTTGTACTTTCCGGCCGAAACACCGCATTAGGCGTAAGTTAATATGTATTTTCTTTAATAGTGATAACGATGCTAATTAAATGAAATATGTTATTCCTCCTAATAACTCTGGGCCTTGAGCCGAAGCTGACGTGATTTACTGTCATGTTATTTGTCAATTAATATGTGCATTTATTAATTTTTAATATGAAGACATAGGTACATACTTGTTAATTGTCAACAAACAATATTATATTCGTTTCATGAACTTGACATTGTAGAATTTACGCATATGTATAGAATTAATATAATATGTCATTATAAAGTATAATAATAATATCTCATATAAAATATCTCAATTTCATATAGTTCTAAAGTTAGCAGAGCTTGTGTTATGGGTACTAAACATCTGATAGAAATACTTACACTCTTTTTTTTTTGTAAAATACACACGTAGTATACATAGAAAACAGCCAGACCGATACAAACAATAATACTCATAAATACAAATGTTTATACCCTGCAAGGAATAGGACCCGGGATCATTAGAAGTAAGATCGTGAACTAAACCGCTAAACCTCCGACACCGAAAATATTGAATTGTAGTGTGTGTTGGGGAAAGTATATGGGTAGTAATTTACTACAACAATTACAATTTAACTAGTGGATTTAGTTCAAGAAATAGGTTCCATGAAATATTTATTTCAATATTTTCGTCTAAAATGTAATACTTAACTAAGTAACTTCGTTTGTTTCTTTCGTAGAACAGCTTAGCTATAAATAACGTTTGCTTAGAATTTTCGCAATATAAAAATAATGAGCAGCTCACTCTTTGCATGTGTTTACTTATAACAATTCTATTTCAATTACATAAGTATAATAATTATACGGAGTGCAATGCACTGATAACCTCGTCATTTATCTCGCAATTAATACATATAGCGGGTAATTTAAATACCAACCTAAATTATAATCTAATTCGTTTATAAGATACAGAACAGTTGGGTACACATTGTACTGTAAGAAATATGGAATAAATATCATATTCTCATCGTAAAATAAGTGTATACCTAATGTGTACAGATAAATAAAATTTAAGTGTCTGTTTGTAATTTCAAATTAACAGCTGTTCACTATATGCAATATGAAAGTATACACAAATGTATATACATCAAAAATATATTTTGTGAATGTCTGTCAATCTTTTTGTTCTTGCTAATCTTTGAAACGGCTGGACAGATTTTTACGGGATTTTCACCCGCAGATAGTTAATATTATAAAGAGTAACTTAGGCTGCTTTTGTTATAGAAAAATTATTTTAATCAAATAAGTTAAATTCCACGCCTACGAAGGCTGTATTATCCGATACGATATTATCTTATCTATAATATTTAATGAGTATGTAATCGTGGCTATACCATTATATAATATATTAACTGTGCCCGCGACTTCGTCTGCGTGGAATTTAACTTCATTTTCTAAAATAAATGAATTTTTCTAAAATAAAAGTAGCCTAAGTTACTCCTTATTACATCAGATACCTGCTTATAAAAGTCCCGTCCAAATCGGTCCATACATTTCAGAGATTAGCTGGAACAAACAAACAGACAGACAAAAATTGTAAAAAATGTTATTTTGGTGTAGGTATGTACTGTATTTATATTCATATGCAAGTAGCAAAAAACGGTTATTTCAATATTCAAAATAGACGCTCCAATTTTATTTATATGTATAGATATATACCGCCTGTGCTAACATTATACGATGGCGCCTCCGCCATCTCCGCCACTGGTCTTCACCAATGTTGGATAAAAGTATAAGCATGAAGGCAGGTACTCCACAGTAACGAATTGACTAGGAATTAACCACAATGGTTCCCAGGGGGATTGTGTGGAGGTCGGTCTGACATTGTACACTTCTGCATTGTTTGACATAGCTGTCAAACAATGCAGAAGATTTCAAGCCTCGATCTTTGGGGCATAAGAAATTAAGACTCGTACTAAATAAAAACATAATAATATACAATAAAAACATATATTTTTTAATTGTTGTATTAAACAGTAAGTGCACTTAAGTACAGCTGTCGTCGTTCACTTGATATAAATCCCCAATTAGAACCGTTGTAGAAACCATCTTGAGTCTTGATATGCAACATCTAAAGTTTTACACAACGATTTATATAACGTAACCACGCAGTGGCAGCGCCCTGACCTTGCTCAACACATTTCTCAACGTCAGTGATTATGAATACTAAACTTAACAAAGTGCTAAAAGCGCTAAATACACATTACTTCATAAACTTGACCCAATAAAGTATTCATATATTTAATTCCCACCGTAGAGTTGTCAAAAGTTGGCACAGTATTAAACTGTGCTACAGCCAGTTTAATAACTTAATATGACGAGTGATGCTTTGAAGATTTTGTAATAAACGATTTGTTAAATAATTTGTCGCAACAGTGACATGTGGGTATGTCCGTTTGATATAATCAATTGCATTGACATAATTTGACATTGATAAAGACTATAAAGTGCACATATTATACTAAATACACATACGAAAAATACACATAGAAAAATTGCTCTTCGGGTCTAGATAATAAAAAGAAAAGTAAAAACATTGACTTCTGAAGTATCATAAACTGTGCATTATTTAAAAGCTGTCGAAAACAATTGACTGCTTTATTTTGTTACACTAATATATATAAGAGGAAAGATTTGTGTAACGAATAAACGAATAAACTACTGGACCAATTTCAAAAAATATTTCATTGGAATTTGTCGTGGGTATTTATAAAGTCAATATATGTATATGTATGTACAACTACAGAATAAAGGAGTTGTTTTCACACCAGAGACGTTTCAGTTAAGTTTCTTAGAATAAAATTTACTACTATTAACATTTCTAGAATTAAGACCTAAATCATTGATGTCTAACTTTATCTTTATTTTTATCTAATGATTAGAACATGCACTTGCCATAACAATATTTTAAAATAGGAGAATGTATAGTAAATTTCCAAACACTTATTCAATCTTAATTTTGAAAAAGTCTCTATAATAGCAATTACTCAAAGACAATGAAAATTGTTTAAGAATAAATAAATCAAAATCCAATTTTGCGCTGTTAGTTTAATAAAAATCATATTGCATGATTAACAGTCTATTCGCTACAGAGCACTTTTTAAGTAATTATTTGTAAATATTGAAAATGTTTTAGTTTCGAAAATTGACAGATGATGCTGCCAGATTTCGACAGTGAATGCACTTAACTTGTTTCATAAATCTAAACTATATATTAGTTTAGATTTATGAAATAAAGACGAAAGATTTGATTTTATGTTTGTAATGAATTGAAACTCAAAATATACTTGACCGATATTAAAAATCCTTTCACCTATAGAATGCTACCTTATCACTACTTATCATAGTTACTTTTTTTAATTACAATATAGCCCTATTGTATTTTTTTTATTACTTGACCAGATGCAGATTATAAACTGTGTTTCGATTCTAGAGTGCAGATTAAACTATTTAGTCTTCTGGAAACAAATGAGTCGTATCATGGGTGTCTCATAATAACTAGATCTCCGTAGTGCTGATCACGTATATAGGCTTCAGTTACCTACTTATTACCGCTTACCATCAGGCGAGACGTCAGCTTATTTGATAATTACATAAAAAATTACATATCGCTACAATAATAGATTTAGGGCCGGTTGTTTACTAACAACCTTATCTACTGATAAATAAGGAATTTTAAGATTTAATTGTGGAAGCCAAATTTTTAGTATTTTCTGGAAATTTTGTAGAAGAATAACAAAGAACTACTCTGACGATATATATAATAATAATAAATTTAAGTATTTTACTATAAAAAATACTACATGTATTGTTGCCATCATGTTTGTGAGGAGAAATAAATAAATCATATCATATTATTATTATATAGCCAGACTGAAAAATTTTTCATTTTTCAGTCTGGCTATATAATAATAATCGTGTTTACGCGAACAGGCAATAATGATGTCATTGTACATTGTTGTCTGAAATATAAAATGAATAATACGTCTATAAATAAGAGGTAGGTATTTATAAAACTCAATAGGTATGAAATTTTCGAATAGAGCTGTACTGAGGTATACATTATTATATATAGAAGAATTTCATATATAGTAAATAATTACAATCAGAATAATGTCAGAATAGTTTCGATTTTATCTTAATAGGTACTATCTGTCCCGCGTAACTTCCTCTGCACCACATTTCATTATAAAAGTCGATGGTTACAAAGTAGGATATAAGTATTCTAACGTTTTATAATATCAAACCGTGCCCATATATCATAAAAATAAAATAAAAATTGTTAATATATTATTATTTCTACATCGTCTGATATTTATATACTAATAATAGTACCCATGTAATATTATCTTAACTGAGCTAATAGTAAATTGTAATACGTGTATTACATCCAAACTCACGCAACATCATCTCGGACGTCCGAATGGCCTCGGAGGATTACCACGCCGCGTTACTTGCCTTTGGTCG